GATTTAACTTATCTCACAAAGGTAGAAACATTAAGCAAACTTTAACCTTCCATTCTAAAAGGTACTTTTTCCTTGGCCTAATCAGCACATCACGTTTTACGAAGAAAACCCTGATATTTCAATGTAGTTCTTGGTGCTAAATCAAACAAAGTAAAAATACAATGCAAATGGCAACATTGTGACCCTATGAATTGATTTGCCTGCCCCACCCCATACGTTTCCCCCGACCCTTCCCCCGGAGTCCAACTTAAACTAAACGACGAGCCACGCGCCGCTGAGACAGTTTCAACTCATTTCACCGCTGTCACCTAATTCAGCTCTTATTTTTCTTACGCACAATTTACCCTCCGTCCGTATAAATCACTGCATGCCCCGGCGCCAAAATTATAAAACCGAGACGGCGCACGAGAACCCCTCGTTGAGGTGTTACAAACGACGGTGTCACAAAAAGAATACGAGGCTGTAATTGTACGGAACCACACCTCCGATGGGACCGACCATACATCCGGCGGAGGTGAAGGAACACACCCATGGGACCGAGCCTGTCAAACCCCGACCAAATCATACGCCATCGAATCTTGATTTCCGGTTGTGCTATTGACTTAAGCTAGCCCGGAGCCACACGTGCAGTTACGGGTCAAACGGTATTCTATGTTTGCATCCAGGGGTACATTTTCATGCAGCTGCTAAGCAGAAAGTAGTGCTTGATTGTTCACGTTGTATGGGGCCTGACATGTTTTCGGGCTCAAAATTACACCGTGTCTGACTCACTTCCCGGGTCATTTTACCTGGAAAAATGTCATTTTCATCCGGAAAAGTGTCAAGGCCAAAATGACATTTCTCCGGATCAAAATGACACTTCTTTTACTCATTTTCCGGGTCATTTTGACACGGAAAAGTGTCACTTTGACTCGGAAATTGTGTCATTTTGACACAGAAATGTGTCATTTTGAAACGGAAATGTGTCACTTTGAAACGGAAATGTGTCATTTTGACACGGAAATGTGTCAGCCCCATAGAACCCGGGTTCTAGGTCAAATCTGACCCGGGACTTTTTTTTTAATATTTCAGCTGAGAACCAGTCATATGCAAATACAATCCCATGTGGTTTTGGCTGGTAACCTGTTTTGACTGAGCAAAGAATTCCTGTGCTTAACAAAGTTCTATGCTTATGAACTCATGGACTTGGAGGTGTCATCCAACGCGCGTGCGTCGGCCTTCAAAGGAATCGTTTTGGACATTTGAAGAAATATTTTTAACAAAAAAAGTCTGATATTCTTGCATTCATACAGTTTACAAAACACGACAAACATAAAAACCGTCAATTTTCTCCAAATCTCATGTTTGAGTTAGGCTGTTTTGCCATCCAGGGGCCAAGTATTCAACGACTGTTGCTTTATACGTACATACCACATCAAGAAGTCAGCTTCTGTAATTGTTTCGGAATAATTAATTTCAAAGTGCACGAACTGTGCACTTTTTTTCCATAGAGCTTTGGTGGATCAATATTTACGTGATCAATACTTGTTGCATATCCATTCCAAGTGATAAATGATTGTTCCCTTCATATTATATGGCAAAATGTGAACTCGCCAAGCGCCTGTTTCCGCCGGTTAACACAATCTGGACAGCTTTTGACCCCATAGTCCAATATACGGGTATGAGTACTTTGCCATGCGTACGAGTGTGAGTACGAGTACTTTGCCATGAGTATGAGAATGAGAACGAACACAAGGGGTTTTTTTTCTCCACGAGCACGAGTACGAGTACCAAAAAAAATGTACTGGTGAACGACTACTAGTACGAGGATACGAGTAGACCTATTTTCCACAAGCAGGAGCAAATTTCAATGTGTTCACGTGTTTTCATGGGCTTTTTGTTGTCAAACCAAGCATGAAGAAGCCTCCCGAACAATCTATCAGCTTAGTTAAATAACTGGCTCTTTTCCTACATGTAATTCTTACTTCTTCTTTTATATTTCTTGCGGGAGCACATTTGCAAGAGTACGAGTACAAAGTGGCGAGTACTTTGCCATGAGAATGAGTACAGGTAACATTTTTTTCTTGCGAGTACGAGTACGAGTATGACTAAATTTTCATGAGTACGAGCTGGTACGAGTACGAGTACCGAAAAAATATACTCAATTTTACGAGTACGTGTACGAGTCTCCAACACTGGGAGAAGTCGTATTGAAGTGATCTCTATTTTGCAAAATCACCTTTCTCAAATTGAAGGTTATATTATCACAGAAATGGGGTTGTTGTCAGTCTATAGTAAAGCTTTCTTGAAAGCCCTTAGAACGTTGCTCGTCCCAGAGGGCCAACGTACCTGTCACACTGATTGATTGATTGACTGACTGACTGACGGACTGACTCCCCGACTCCTCGACTAACTGACTCACCGACTGATACACTGACACATTAAATGACTCACTGTCACTTGTGAGCCAGGCAGTCCTATCGTATAGGATTACTCCATCAAGCCAATGAGCGGTCTCAACCCGGCCCCTTGTGTAGATCAAACGCATGGAAAGACTCCCAGTGAATAACCATTCTGATTTAATTAAATGGAATTTGTTGGGCTCAGGGACCAGATTTACTGGGCCTGCCTGGTCTTCTTTCATTTAACGGAGTTTTTATGGACTAGACCACATCTGTCTTGGTTTTTACCATAGTTTATACAACCTCGCATGGCCGGCCCACGGATCACACGGACCGCCGAAGGCAGACGAGCTCGTCTCGACTCGTTAAACCTTGATGGGTTCTTGATTATTTTCCAAGGAAGGATAGTCCGTGAAAGAAGAAGATTCGGCTCGGAGTGTGAACCGTGCTTTTTGTTTCATTATTCACTCATCTGGGATGCCACACGTCAATATCACTTGTGCTACTTTCCATTTGTGTTTATATACCACGGTCCTGCAGTCTACATACCTGTCTCTAGATACCAACGAGGTTGATTCAAAGTAAACACAATTTCTCTTTAACTGCCATTCCACTTGATTTCCCATATTATCCTTTATAATATATACTGTTTGTTGTTTCACGGTGTACCACATGCAGTCTTGATATACTTGTGGTTAACCTAGATCAACCAGGTTGTGTAATGGGCGCCATGCAGGGTTGGGAATTCACAATTTGGGGAAGTGATATTTTTAAAGCCAGAATCAGCGTGTGGGAATATTTGTTCGCCTTAAGATACACTAAGATTTATAAATTAAAAAAAATCACAGTGCATCTACTTGTCCACAAAGATATATCCTGCCAATTTATTACAATGTTATGCTCGTATATAATAATTGTTTGGGGCCTATAAGGTCAAAACAAGTCCCCTTGGGACGACTGCGAGGGCCTTGACAAGGAAAACCACATATCTGACGCTAACACATCGACTGTGACGACAACGACGGTGGCAACCACAAATCTGACCAAACGACTTCGACAACGGCTTTCATTATGACAACCTCAAAACTTACACAAACATAGCGACTGCCACAACGACTACGAATACGACAATGCCAACCCTACGTGCCAACCATTATGCAGATCCAAACAACAACATGTGAAATGAGAGGACGTATGTGTGCCATATAGAGCTATATTTATAGCTCTTTGGTGCATGCATATTCGTTGTAATGGCACGATGTATATTGATTGAAGTTGATTAGATTCTTTGAACTCGTGCAGCAATAACAGAAGTCTCATCATATTATCATGGATTCCCAGACGACCCATTACCATGTACACGTGGACCAAACCGCGTTATTTCTGGTAATCACTCTGCCGTTTCACTCAGTCTGGCTGCTGGCTGGATAATTGGATTGCATCTCCACATCTCATTTTTCAGAATATGTAATAGCATAAAAAGACCCGAAGCCCTCAGGATTTGAAGTGTTGAAACAGAGTATGGATCATTTGTTTTCACCATTAGGGTTATACTTACAATGTGTGCAGCATCACCGATCTACGAAAACACAGCTCCAGGCCCTCGTGGGAATTTTGTATGGTTAAAAACCAACGTCCGATTTTGAAATGAAAATAACGCAGGCGGCAATAGCATTGTGCAGAGCAAATTTCATTTCTGTCCAGCAAAAACTGTGGTGGGGGCCGGGGAATTACGACGACAATAGAAGGGACAGGCTGGACCCAAGTTAAGCTTCAGAAAAGTCACCGGTACTTTTCCCTCTAATTTTTAGTAAATAACTCAGGTTGCATTCCGAGTAAAAGGTCTTTGGTATTAAATTTCCAAACAATGTTTTCCCAATTGAAATGACACACTGTACTCTGAATTTTATTGTTGGGTGTTACTCTTAAATCGACGTTACCTCCGCCAAGAAGGTTACATTTTCATTGGATTTTGTTGGTTGGTTGGTTGGTTGGTTGGTTGGTTGGTTGGTTGGTTTGTCTGTTTAACAAGATAACTCAAAAACGTATGGACGGATTTGCATGATATTTGTTTTAGGTGTGGTCCTTGGTACCAATCGTTTAGATTTTGGAAGTGATCCGGATCCGGATCTGGATCCAGGATTTTTCTGAAGGATTCTTCACCATTTATGCGAGTACTTCTTTTGGGTGTCCTGACAATATGGCAGGACTTGAATTGTTTAGCCTTGGCGGAGGTTTGCGCTCTCTGAGTGCTTTCTAGTTTTATAGTGACTTTATACAATCAGGACTGTCTGGGATTCGAACCCACGACCCCTTAGTAAAACTCGATGCGTCTTACTCACTGTGTACCGCGTTTGCCTGGACAGAGCGGGGATAGACCTCGTGCGTTTAGGCGGAGTCAGAGGGCAACGGTTTATCACGTGGATAGGCATGAGTAAACATTTTTGTGCATTCATGAATATTGAAATAACGAATTAAGAACGCCTTTGAGACACCTGCAATGTCTTTCAATTAACTACAGTGCCGATTTTAAATGAGCAGCAATTTAGCCTCTTTTTTTGCTCAAGAGCACACCGTAATGATTAGTAAATCAACAACCTGTGAAAAGTAAACGCTTACCTTTATCAACCGATGAAAGGTGGAATAAATCAGAATATTAGCGTTGGGCTGGCTAATCACTTATGCGTCAGACTCTGCCGGGGTAAAAATACTCCTGGAACTGAGAGACTACAGTATTCGCTGGCTAAGCACCGAACAAGCCAGATGATGCCTCGTTTTCAACCACAGTAGACGCTTTTCTGTAGACAGTCTGCACGAACATCTAGAGTTGATGGTATCAATTTCACTGCGCAACCTCTTTTGAGGTCCGTGTGTCAGATTATGCGAAGTGCTTGATTCCAATCTGTGCAACAGTGTCAGAGGTAAATACAAGGTATATAGTACAGTGGAGAACCGTACGACAATTAAATTGTTATGTTTACAAATCCGGTGTGCATATTTATTGAAGTCATGCAATTCTCGGCAAAGTCTTCAGCGGATGGGCGACGCCTGCCTCACTCGTACGCGGGCCGTTTCGTAATGTGTGGAAGGATAACGGAAGGTATCGTCCGTGCGACGTCACCGTACGTCTGCACGTGTTCATCAGCAAGCCAGCTACGCTAGAGGCGGCGTGGTTACTTTTTTTCCGCAACCAAGCATGGTCACTGATCATAATGCACAAGCGCCGGTTGTTCACGACTAGCTTCTCGGACTTTACTGCCCTAAAATAATCTGAGCGAGCTATTATATTAATCGGGAAAAGAGGGTAAATATATATATATTTTTTTAAATTTACTTAAGCTACTGCGTCGCTTAATGATCGATCACCGCTGTGACTCCAATAAACCTTACAGTCATCTCAAGTAATGCACCTATAAAAATAATGTTCTCCCCCCCCCCCCCACCCCGCTGCCCCCGGTCTGATGTCGGGATTTGGTCACGTTTTTCATGCCCCAGTGTGGGGATTATGGTCACTCAAATTACATTGTTAACATGGCGTACTACATTGAAAGGCAATCACTAGTGCGCCCCCCTTATGTAAGTCGGGGCATGGTCGGGGATTAAATTGTCACTTAAATTTTGCCCGAGGGGTGGGGATTTGTCACTTCAAAAGTGAGCCCTGGGGGGGGGGGGGGTGGCAGGGGGAAACAGTTGATAGGCGCATAACGCGGTGTATTATTTGCAGCACGCGATATTTCACGCTAGTGGAGTATCGTAATTCACTCTTGGCTGCAGAAGAAATAGAGCGGGGCGCTAGGCCTACATGCCACGCTCAATGCGCATTGACAAGCTTCATCACACGACCTGGGCAAATATCTTGTAATCGTCCTATTTCCCGTTGCCAAGGTAACCATAAAGAAGGAGCTCGTTTATTTAAAGGCCATCGTTGATGAAGTGACGGCAGGTGTTGTCACGCGGTAATAAGAGCAGAGCGGTGATGGAAACTGCGATATTTGAAAGAGAACCCGAGGACTAATCAGCGCAAGGACAAATACAAAAACAAAATGTTAAAGTTTTATCATAGTCGCGTATTTCAGAATGAGTATGCTATGTCACAATATTGAAAGTCTCAAAGATCTACTCAAATTTATTTTAGTTCGTTATGCCTACATAATTATATGACCAGTCGTGTTTTTCTAACAGACAGGTGTAGTTTCGGGGACATTTTCACACGTAATATCACTACCGGTATACCGCATTATGAGCCATTAATTTGAGAAGCATAGCCTAAATGGCTCCCTTTACCTTTCGTGGTGCTAATCATGGAACATCCTCTTGCACAGGAAGAGTCTATAATATGCGAACATATTCGGTGATTAATTATGCAAAACATAACATCAGTTTTTTCTGTTGTATTACAAAAGCATGACAGCCAAATTGACCGATCAACAGCTTAGTCAATTGCTGATCGAAATGACGTCACAACTTCTAAAACCCACTCCGATTGGCTGGCGCGGGGTCGCATACAATTTGCATTGCTCACATGTTTATGTCAAACGTTGGTTACAGAGAGGGCTCCGTTGGGCAAAGGGTGACACTCACTTGTCACAATATTCTAGTCGTCACTCAGAGTCCACTCACTTCTTCACTTCACTGAGTAGCCTTTGACCACGAGGGGTAACCCCGGTCCCCGGCCCCCAACTACTACTCTTCCCTTGGCTACAGTCGTGTGCATGTACAGTCGAACACCTTTATTAACAAGGTCCTTGGGACTTTACGAATTACCTTGTTATAACAGGTACCTTGTATTAACAGTAATGGAAAACAAAGAAAAACAAAGGCTTGGGACCTAAAATTGTGCTTGTTATAAGCAGTATACCTTGCATTAACAGTGCGTGTCTTATCATCAGGGTTCGACTGTATAACCAAAACAAGCTCGAATTGATCTCGGAAGCTGCGGCCCAACTGTAGACCTACCTGATGTGTAGCCTGTAAGTCATGTAGGCCTACATGATGTCTGTTCGTACAGCGTGTCCCAAAAAAAATGTCCCTCTGATAGGCTGCTAAATTAATTCCAAAATCAAGTATTATTCTCAATTTAGTGTTCAGATTAAGAAAGCCTATTTAATTTTGTAACTTCTGTGAAAATTTCATAGGTCTCGCTTCATTGGTTTTGAATACACAGTCTATTATGTCACAGCAGTGCTTTTCAGCCCATTCCAAGTTTGCAGGTGGAAGGATGTGCAGGAGGACAATAAAGGTTTACAAGCTGGACATTGAAGTACAAACCATAAGTGGAACACACCCTGTGAAAGCAAACACGACCAGTGGAACTGAACTTTGATTAGTTTTCATTTGAAAAAAATAAATGAACTTGACTTTAGTTACTTAATAACAAAACAAGAACACAGTTGTTGAAATAAAAGTGAAGCATGGAATAAGGTATGGTATGTCTGTAGTGTGCATTTCTTTTCATCAAACTTGGAATGGGCCGGAAAGCACTGCTGTTACATAAAAGCCTGTGTATTCAAAACCAATGAAGCGAGACCTTTGAAATTTTCACAGGAACTACAAAATTAAGTGGGCTTTCTAAATATGTAAACTTAATTGAGTATAAAACTTGATTTTGGTAATTATTCTGTGAGAGGGACATTTTTGGGGGGGACACGCTGTATAATGCACAACTAAACTCACGTGGTCGAGACTGTCAATTGAAAAGGATTCCCGTTATTTTGTTGAACGTCCGTTGGTGCATGCCACGACTGCAATAAATTGGTAGTTGGTCAGTGGAGACCTGAAGCACGTGTTGTTGCGAGGGCCTAAGGTACATGGTGATTGATTGCCAAAAGAGGCATTTGCTGAAGTTTGTTACTAACCAACGGAAAGACACGATCATTTCTTGAGCTGCTTTTCCGCAGCTCAAAACCCGAATTTACATAAGGGCAAGTAGCTAGCCTACCCTATACAGTGTACATGTACATGTATACATACCGGGGTATGGCTTTTAGACACCATCGTCTCCCCCTTAATCAACACAGTCCACCGTTTATAGCGGAGCCAGGCAGTGTAAAATTGGATTCTATGAAATATGGACTCATTGGTTTTATTGTGCATGCGTAAGTGAAGATAATTTGGACAGTGTGACAGGTCACGTGTGGGGTTAGACTAGAGTCCATATAGGCCCAAAGGTAAAAGAGACCAAATTTCATAGGAGTCCATTTTCATATGACACCGGGTAGCATGTAATGTGCAAACGAGACCCGATGATAGCTACCTCTTGAAGAAAATAATAATGAAACGAAAACTACCCAATATAAAAATACTTTCTCCAGGATCAATCCATGTAAAGATGCATTTATTGTACGCTGACTGCCAAGACATTACATTTGCAAACTCGACTACATTCATCTGTAAACACAGACCATGTCAACTGCAAATTCGGAGTAGTGGCTTGCAGAATCGATAACAGATAGCTAGATGACTATGTTACTTTAGGGGGGGGAGGGGGAAGAGGCAAACAGATCACATTAAAAGATACACTGTAAAAGTACAGAATTACACAAACATCCTAAATACATATATCAGATGTCAAAGAAATATCTTAAACATAAACAATTATGATCAGGTGAGTTCAAATCAAGGGGTGCATACCTATGTTCCCCACTACCTATGTTTCCCAACCCTAACCCTAACCATCTAACTCCTAACCCTAAGGATTTTGGGGAACATAGGTATTGGGGAACATCGGGTAGACCCCCAATATCATGCCCTGACCACTGTACATCTGGGCAATAATAAATGAGTCTCTTCAATGTCACATCCTATGTTCCAGATGCATGTATCATGAGCAAGTGCACGCCAGACATTTTTGCGCTCATCATGACATGTAAACGAAGAATGCCGTCGTTACCTCTCGGGCCTATTTACTAAAAGGTCTTTCCCTGGGTTATGCTTACAAGTATTCTTTAAGATGTAATATCAAACAGATGCACAACTGTATAAATAATTTGAAAATTTTAAAAACTGTTCACAAGACCACAGCAACGTACGACGCTATCACCCCTGCTCACTTTACCTATCAAACCTTCCTTAGTCCATTTCAGAAAATAGACCCGATGCGTAGCGGCCATCTTAGGGGACAAATTGTTCATTCATGCAGATCCCAGCAAAGCAAAGGCCGCACGGCCCTCGTCTGTTAAGATGACTGCTATGCATAAGGTCTATACAGCTGGATGCTGCCATTTTGGGGCAAAGAGCTCAATTTCAGCACAATAGCCATGTCTGTCTTCACTACTACTTATACCTCCAACTTTGAAACAGCAATGTGAAAATTTGAAAATTCAAAGTCGTACATATAAATAGTTATTTAATAGGGAAGTACCTAGTGACGTTCAGTTTGTTGTTCATTGGTTTCGAGAGAAATGGTTGCTATTCTGAACTTGATTTTATTCCTGATAAACACAACACGAGGGCTTGTAACAATGTCATCTCTCTTATAGAGCGCCCTCGTACGTTCAAGCTCAGAGCAAAGAGCCATCAAGTTAAATACATGTGAATATTAAATGCCATGCCAATTTCTGCACTTCTGCTTATCCATAAGTAAAACTGTCATCATTTCAATCAGTTTCAGGCAGATAATGGTTCTTGGGCATCACAATGGGTATCACAGACAATTCAGGGTGGTTTTTCGGGGTGAGGTCAGGGGTCATCAGGTAAAGTTTGCAGCTTCAAAGTTGACCTCTTCTCGGCAGACTGGGCAGATCCGATTGTCCTGTTCAGACCATGAATAGAAATAGTTTAGAGGCATATAGTATCATTTGCATTTTTACCTAAATTGACCTACCGAATGATTATTTAAATGCTTACTTTGATAACAGATTTTACTGGTACTAAACACCCCATGAAATTATTCCATCTGGCTTGCTGTCATTTAGAAGAAAACAAAAGAAGCAGATAATTTCCAATGATCTGTTTATTAAAGGAGAGTTGGAAATAAACAGTTCTATTGACACTTTTCCACTATTTTCTCAATAGAGTGTAATGTCCACTGAGCTGAAACTTCAACAGGTTAGGTTCTGAACTTCCCTCTTCGGATTTTGATTGGGCACGAACAAAATGCATGAAAAGCACACGATGCTATATATGCCTTTGAAAGAGATGAGACAGCTTTTAGCAGATTGACATTATGAAATTGTAACCTTAACCCTAACAGAACTCAACCCATCAAACCCCAACGGCATGTTTTGTTGGAATCTGTCAGGATGGGTACAGTACCCCTAAACTGACAGTCTTCTACAGTGGGTTGGGCACACCTCTAGCATCAAAGTCAGAAATATGTGTGTGGAATTCCCCAGGATGGGTATGGTTCCTAGTAAATCATGCTAGGGAGTTAGGGTTAATAGAATATCAGAGATGAAACTGGCCAATTGGGGAAAAAAAAGGAAACTGGAACAAGGATCAAGAACTGTTTACGTCCCCAACATCACCATCAAGTATTCTTGAGGACAAAGGTTCAAATTCTGATCGTCCAATTTCTGTGTTCAGCCCAAAATTGAAAGAGTTCAACGACTCCGTCTCACCTTCAGCCACTTGTCAATGCAGGCCGCGTGATAGAAGTGGAAGCAGGGAAGCCGTCGCATGTTCTCCCCAGCTTCGTAGTCCCCCATGCAGATGGAGCACTCGTTCTCGGTGGCGTCTTGACCCGCTGTCGTGTAGAGGAAGGTGGGCAGCAGATTGATGGAGGATTCGGGGAGACCCTTACTGACGGCCTCGCCGACCCGCTCCACTAGGTTCCAGAGTTGCTGTTGGAGAAAAATTAGCATTTTACTGTTTTCCTACAGATATTATGCCTGAAAATACAAATTCATAAATACCTAAGGCAGTTTACCCATTCCTATTGGTCGAGAGCCTGTCATGTTAACCGTCTTAAAGGTTCATGAAACACCAGCTGGCTGGTCTTAAACACTTTTCAAGTGTCACATGAAATGTGGACTCCTGTGAAATCTGATCCCTTTTACCTTTTTATTGGTTGAATGCGCGTTCACAATCCTCACTTAGGCATGCGCAATACTACCAATGAACAATATTTTCCTAGCCCTAAATTCACACTACACCTGCACAGCTGCTCCACATCCCGCAGTAAGCGCCATGCATGTGTAAATCGCCATATAAGGAGTTGTTTATGACTACTCGCTAGAGGCACATACCATAACATAGTTAGAGGGGGTTTAAAAAAGCATGAAGTAAAATTGTTGAACAAATCGTTGGAAATGTTTTAGTTGTTTTGACTCTTTGACCGAAAAGGTATTTATGAATGGGAATTATTATGTGCTTGGCCATTATTTTAAACAATGTGGTAAAGTCAAAGAATCCTCCAGCGTACTTAAGCTGGAGTGCACTGGCATGCACAACTGACTTGCAATAAACTATACCAACAATACAAAGGTTAACTTACCTCGTAATCATTTCCATCAGACTGCACTGGATTGTGGTGATGACCTCTGGTTCTTGACCTTCCGCGACCCCTGGCACGACCTCGACGTTGCCTCTGCAGGTGTCGGGGGGGGGGGGGAAAAAAACCATACAAATGCCATATGAGCATTGGTAATCACGAACACAAAATACTGTGATTTTTAATACTCAGTTGGTAACAAAATCAAGGCTTTCTTAAAAATTGACAGTGCTATTGTAAAGCCTTGATGTCCTGTGGGACATGAGACTGAGCAGTGGTAAAATTACAACCATTTATCTTTTTGACGTATTGGCACGATACAAGAAAACAATTGTTGATGCTGTGATATGCCGTTTTTAACCCCCTTGGGGCCAATAGCACCATTTGCTCCCCCCCCCCCCCCCAGTTGGTATGCGTCCCTCGGGTGTTAAAACGTCATATCCCACATCACAGCAGTCAACAATTGTTAAATGAAATCAGCAAGATAAGAATATCCCACACATCTTATGCACAGAGCCACACACACAGGATACAGATAAGATATGCTATGTACTTCGGGCACAGGTACCCTCCAAAGATCTTGTATTACCAGAGCACAGGGACTTGAGTTGCCTGCTTAATGCAACTGTATATGCAACAACTGCGTATCTTTGTTGCTTTCTGTTGCATTATAAGGGTTAATAAGCAATGCCTTTCACAGAGGCTTCCTACCCCACGATGGCCGTAGCCAGCCTGACCCTCCGTATTGTTATCCAGGAAGCGTCCCATCTCGGCCATCATGGCAGCATTGATTGGGTTCATGTCCACCAGGTCGTCCCTCCACATCATCTCCTGATGGCCAGCGATGCCCGGCATGACTGGGTTGGCCATCTGGGTGCGTGGTGGGAAGAGTGGAGGGGGTCGGGGGAGAGGTGGTCCAGGGAGGGTGGGCAACTCGGGCATGATAAGGGGCTGTGCGAGAATCTGAGGAAAACAAAATGTTAAAAAAATCAGTACCAACCCTGCAGAAAACAACTGCCCAGATGGCTTCCCTAATCCTTTGTGGCCTCGATCGTGCCCTCTTCAGCCACTTCGTACGCCTGGTTGATATCAACCCAGCAAAGAAGGCACTTGCCATCGCTTTCAACACCTGGAAAGGTCAGACCCCCCAAGCTTTTGGCTGGACAAGGCCCGAAGGCTGCCCAAGACCTTGTATCAATCTTGTGATGGACTTGTGATGGACTTGTGATGGACTTGTGACGGACTTGTGACGGGCTTGTGATGGAATTGTGATGGAATTGTAATGGACTTGTGATGGACTTGCGATGGACTTGTGATGGACTTGCGATGGACTTGTGACAGACTTGTGACAGACCTGTGATGGACCTTTGACGGCCTTGTGATGGACTTGTGACGGACTTGTGACGGACTTGTGACGGACTTGTGATGGAATTGTAATAGACTTGTGATGAACTTGTAATGGACTTGTGATGGACTAGTGACGGACCTGTGATGGACTTGTGATGGACTTGTGACGGACTTGTGACGGACTTGTGATGGAATTGTGATGCTCTTGTGATGGACCTGTGGTGGACTTGTGATGGACCTGAGTGAGAGGACTTGTGACAGACTCGACTCCAAAACTCAGGATACTCCGGGAGGTTAGGGTGATTTTAAAAGACTGAGGAAGGTATTAAAGCTCATGTACGTTTAAGTTGTCATTTCTGTCGCCAAGTTTTTGATTTCTTAACTATTGAGAATTACAGTACAACTCACCTCATTATGGGAAGACATAATCCGGCTGTGTTCTTGGGTAAGCCTAGCCAACTCTGCATCAAAGTGCTCCTTTTATAAATTAAAGAAAAATTATTGATAATTTTAGGTTTTCTCCAAAAATCTGAGGATTTCTTCTTCTTTTTTTTTTACTTTGCGTTCCCAAAGCTTTTTACCTGTCATGTACACGTATCATTACAGAGAAAAGAACCGATGCGTAAATTATGAATTCATGCTAAGACACTAGGTTCGTTTTCTTTTCAACTAGACCTTTAAAATAGCATAAAACAATCCAAAGCATGACATTTTTTGGGATTTCAGGGGTCTTAATGCCCCTTCAACAGAACACAGTACAAGCAAGTCAATGTCAGTAGATCTGGAAATGTACAATGTACATGTAAGAACTTTGAGGATCATTGATACACACCTGAAGCTGTTTGGCCATTCTCTCATCTTCATCCAACTGTCTTACCAGCTCCACAACATCAATGTCTGTGGAATCAGTACTCTCCGAGACTTCAGCTCCTCTGCTCTTTCTCCTTACAGAAGGTTCTCCAACACTACGTCTAGATTCCCGACTCCCAACTACCTGGACATCAGGTGAAGGATCTCCTGTGCTCCGACTACTGACCTGCGAGGCTGCGTTATTGTTAGACCTCTTCTGTCTAGTGTCTTGGTTCCCAGAAATGGTAGCACCATGCTTAGACTTATGCCTTGCTTTCAACGGTAATTTGACTGAGTGTTGGTGAGCGCTGTGATCTTCAAGCACTTGAACATCGGAATGGGGCTCTGTGAAGCTTAAACTACCTGCAATTATAGACTCTGACCAATCATAATTGATATGTTGTCTTGTTTGGCGACTTCCAACTTCTACATTTTGTGGATGGTGTACTTGGCCATCAGATAAGGTCAAAGAATGGCTCCTATCACCTCTGCTGTGATGTTTGGAAATCTGACTTGTCTTACTTTTGGCATCATGGCGAGATCGTTTGTTCTTGATGACTTCATGACGGTCTCCCCTTCTTCTGTTGAGGCCTGATGATGAAGAGCTAAACGTGACCACAGTGCCCCCTCTCATCTCCTCTGGCCTATGATCTTCATTCAAGGATAAATATTCTGTGTTTCTTGATTCCAAGGATTGTGACGTCTTGCCTCTGCTTTCATAAGCTGCACGATTCCTTCTAACCCGACTCGGAGACCTGACAAGCGGAGGAGATTTCTGATCACCCCGAACACTGTGCATCTGTTCTGACCATTGGGAGCGATCCTCACCATCAGCGATCAATGAAACTGTCGTATTCCTTGCATTAGATGATTGGGAGGATTGATCTGTTCTTGGTGATTTCACAAAAAAATCTCTTCTAAAAATAGTGATTGAGCTCCCTGTAGGGTCAGACGTTGCGGTAGCCTCATTCCCATCATGAAGAGATGAACCTCGAGTGTCTTCCAACCAATGAAGATGCTTTTCTTCAAAACACATGCTTGGAAAACGAAACTTGTCCTGGGAGTCGGTAGAACTAACTTGGCCTTGAGAGTTTGAGGATTTTACTCCAGACGACTCTCTGCTACATGTACGTACATGCAGTTTATCTGCATTTGAAGAGTATCTGCTACTTTCTGTTAACCAGTTAGAGATCCCAAAGGTTGGTGAATGTGATCCAAAGACTGGTGATTGGGATCCACAGACTGGTGATTGTGATCCAATGACTGGTGATTGGGATCCAAAGACTGGTGATTGTGATCCAATGACTGGTAATTGTGATCCAGTGACTGGTGATTGTGATCCAGAGTGAGCAACATTTCGTTTGAAAGAAGATGCTTTACTCGATGGTGAATGTCTCATTCCTTCGGCTGATGAAGTGATTAGAGTGTCTTTTGGGACATGACCCGGGTGAGAAATTTTTGGTGCTTTGGGGGAACTGTCGCGAGTGATCTTGAATGTGTCATCTCTGGCCATATTCCCGACCAAAACACTGACATCACTACGTCTAACAGGAAGCTCCTTACGAGTGTGTGCATGTCTAGAGAAGATGGGGGATGTTCCTTCTGTATTCTGGCTTTCACCAAATCCCTGTTTGGTAGAGGGATTTGTTTTTGCCTGTGGACGGGACTGTCTTGCCAGAGCACCTCTCTCTGTGCTTTGGGTGATGTCTACAAGTATGACAGAGTCATCCCTCTCTGAAAAAGAATATATTTTCTTCCGGGTAGTAGCCTCTGAACAAATTCCTCCAGCACCTCTGTTATCACCTTTAGACAGCCCTGTAAGGTTGACCATTGAAGTTTGGGGATTTGTACTGGATACTGAAGCTTTGTTAGTCCGGGTTTCTGTGATGTTATCCTCCTGTTCATCTCCGAGTTCCTTGGCGTCTTCCTCAGCTGTATCCCGGCCCTCTTCACTTGATGTTCTTCCGAACAGGGTGATCATCTTCCTTCTGGTCACTTTTTCAGGACTGGGATTCTGTTGACCATTTCCAAGAGCCTTGTTGCCACCCCTGCTCCTTTGGATAGTTTCCGCCGTCCTCTTTCGAGTCTTGAGATCTAAGAGGTATGAGTTGAGGCTTGCTTCACTCTCAGTGTCAGAGGAGCTGGATGAGGAAGATTCAGATGGCGCAATGCCAAATGTTTGCGACACTCTGGCTCGTTTGAACCTGGGAACTTGATTGCCTTTTTTGCTCAATCCGCGTTTGCATCTTCCCGGCTTTCTCACATCTTGACTGGGTTGAAGACGGGAAGACACTCTCTGTAGCAGGCTGCTACAGAGAACTGTTGCCCCAGAAATTCTTTGCACCTGCGTTCGCTTCGACTTCGTTGGTAAGAGAAGTGATTCTGAATCTGATGAGCTACTGCTAGAAGTACTTGAGTCGCTCCCGAACATCAACTTGCTGTTGTACTTGCTGCTTGTTTGTTCCCTCCTCGGCTGCCGGCCAATAGTGGCCCTTGAACAGGAATTACCATTCTTCACACCCGTGGCCCCCGACTCGGCATCTGATGAGCTACTTTCACTGCTCGAGCTACTCGGAAGTCTTCCGAACTTGTCATTTGATTGTTTAAGGCTGGACTGCCTGCCAGTATTGCCCCTGAGATACATGCATGAATTATGTTTCATTGTGGTGCCTCCTGAGTTCACATCACTATCTTCTTCAGTACTGTCTTCTGAACTTTCTGTTGGTGTCTTAAGACGAGTCCTATGGGGGTATGTTAATGAGACTGTCTTACGTGAACAAGGGAAAACGGGAGAGGACTTCCTTCCTGCAGGCGGGGATGAAGTGAAACGTGAGTCAATCATCTCTGGTAGTTTGCGTTTCTTAAGCGTCAATGCCTTAGGTCTGCTGTGAACCTTTGACGACGAGATCCTGGGCCGGACATGTTGGGTCGTAGATGGAGCAATCTTCTCCCTTCCTCTGTTTGGTTGCTGATGTACCATCACTCCAGTATCCAGTGACGGTTCACTCCTCATTTGATTGTCTGAAGATTTGGCTTCAGAAAATCTTGCAGAGCTGTGAAAATTATTTTAAGAAAAAAAATACCAACATGAATTTTGATAGAAAAAAGTCTTCAATGGCAGAGGAGAACACATTTTCAATACTTTTATGTATGGACAATCAGCCATTCCAGTAATCACAACAGTAATTGAATAGGGGCAAAAACAGAGATTGGACAAAAACATTGCCGGCCTAGTATTTCCTAAATTTTTGCAAATCCGCCTGGTGCACACACACATTTTTCTTCTTCTTCGAAAGATTTTTTCAGACACAACTCATAGTTAAAGTCAATTGTATCTCCAATACATGTACATTTTGTAATTGATCATAATTATATCCTTTGCTTTTTAATGTTATTGTATAATTGTAATGCCCGCTCTTTTTGTTTTAGTATGTGCAAATTTTGTGATGTGTTTTTACGTAATTTGACTACAATTCAGCTTTTGGCTGATATGGTCGAATGAAAATAAACCATTTCAAATAAAATCAAATATATTGGCTTTTTATCATAATGTAACAGTATACATGTACAAATTTAACATGGTTTGAGGGTGGACAGTCGATATTCGCTCCCCGAGGTATTGGAAGTTGACAAACTAGTTCCTGAGGCGAAGCCGAGGGAACTAACTAGTTTGTCAACTTGCAATACCGAGGGGAGCTAATATCGACTGTCCACCCGAAATAAACCATGTTATATTTGTTTTACTACTCTTCATACATATTCAGTTGCCGATTTTTCTTTATATATGCACCTAAAACAAAATTCGGGGAAACTTGAACAGCTCACCAAAAGAATATTGTTGCTCAACTTCAATTGCAAGTTTGGTTCGTTTGCAATATAATACAGTTACTACAGTTGTAAATACAGTTGTTTGTGTACAACTTTCTTTGTACAGGGGACATCTTTACACGGTCCATAAATTTTCTCCAGTACGGCATCATTGAGCTCTGGAAATTAACATTTACGCGAACCGTGCAACCATGCATCTCTCCCGGGCGATGTTTGCGCATGCGTACTGCACTCGTGCGATAGTTCCTCGTTGCTCTGTAAAGCGCATGCGTAGTAGACTGTCGCACGGGTAACCCATGCGAGTCTACTACGCATACGTATTTACCCTGTGCGTGAATCCTCGCGCGCGTTTGGTAAACAGCAAGAATAACATCTGGCACGTGATGGTGAATTGACCAATGAGAGTTCGGCTCTCGATCATGAATATGTATGAGGTATAGTAATTTCAGTTGGCCACACATCTGCCAGTTCTAGTTTAAAATATACCTTGATGCTAGAGAAAAGACGTCGCTTGTTTCGTCATCATCACTGCTACTCCACAGATCAAGCAAAATTGGGACATGCTTGGCCTTTGACCTCTTCATTCTGGTGGAATCATCCTCACCGACAGTCTTTGTATCCGCCATGTCAATCTACATGTACACAAACACACAAATGCCGTTATCAACTAAGACCATGTCAACTGTTTACATCAAATATCAAACAGAATGAATTGTATACAAACAAATGGGGTGACTTATTTTTAGTGCCCCTCAACCATAGAAAAGAACAGAAAAAGAGGCGTGAAGTCATATGTGACCGGCTCCACAAAAAAGGGTACATGTATTAAGTCGCGCTGAACATTATTGTGTAATGGCGCCTGCTCAACATTGATGATTGAGAGGGTGAAAATTTCTTCAAAATGTGATTTTCATTTTTTTGTCATGAATGACATCTTTAATACCTACAGTTTCAGGTTTCATACACAGAAAGGTTGATTTTATGAACAAAGTGGAAAAAACAACCATTTTGTGAGCATCATTCTGTCGTTCTACAACAAAGCTAGACCCGTGAACGTAGTTTACAAGCCACGTTCACGGGTCTACAACAAAGCCAGCTATTTCAAAAGCTTGCCTGTTTTCTCATTTGTGTAATTTGAACTCCAAGGAAGAAATTAATATGCAAATACATCACATCCCAAGAACAGGATGGGCTATGGAGCATTATTATGTATCAAATAAAAGCGTACGTTGTGGGCTTTCCAACCATGTTTATAATTATATCTCAATTTCACTTGTTTGCGACATAGTCATACTTTTTATCTAATAATAGTACCCTTTTTGTGGAACCGGTCACATATTTCAATTTTCATTTGCTACTTACAAGTTACATGTAGGCCCTATTAAATACACATTTAACGAAATGGGCATCTGCAGGGGTGTCAATCCTTACTGCAAAATACCAAAATCTGAGCATCACAGGCGCGGCAGGGAAGAATTGGGGACATTGACCACGTACGTACGCTGTCATTTAATAGAATCAACGCATAGCTTAACATGACAGGGACGGCATGCACGTTCGAACACAGCGGTCGTATGCGTGCGTGGTTCGTTGCCCACATGTAGGCCCCCTATCCTGCCCATACCAATGCCAGATATATTGTTGATGTACCCTAACGTGGCGCGGCCCCTAACGTGGCGCACTTTGATTTTTCGCCTGTACTAGCGCCTAGCTAGAGCAAAAGTTTTAACTGAAATTTCACAGAAAGTGAAATTTCATCAAGTTCTAAACACTCCTGTTCATAAATTGCGAGTTTATTAACCCGCTACAAAGTTTTAAAAAATATATATTTTGGCGTGATTTTCCGATTTTATTTTCAAGTACAAAGTGAAACCTTTGAAAATGCCCCGAAAAATAAGAAAATAATTTTCTGACAAACATCTGGCTGGGTATGTAAGTAGAAATAATAATGATTTATCAGAATTGATCAAGTTTACAGAAATTCTTAAATGTTAATTTGGAATTTTCCGAGATTTATTTAAGTGCGCCACGTTAGGGAACACTCCGCCAATTTGTGCCCAATTTCCGGACGCCACCGTTTTTTAATTTCGGCTTAAATTTATGAAACCGAAATTGTTCACGGAGGTTAAATAGCATTATTAGCAAGCATTAATAATAAGGTAAAAGTACCATTATTTTACTGCATGAATTTGAGGTTAGTCAACACAAAGAGGTTTGGCAACACTACACGAGGAAAGTTGGGTAAGCTTCGAAGTGCGCCATGTTAGGGAATATAGGGAACACGACTATACTGTATACATGTATATATAATTATAATATGCTTTGCACAGCAGTGTAATTTGCTATTTGCGATAAGGCTTATCAATATTTTTGGTGAGCAAATGTCCCCTCGCCCACCTTCGAAAAAAAAATGATAAATTGAGAATATGCTTGAGAAAGTACAACAAGGATATGTGCTTGCCCGCCCCCCCCCCCCCAAAAAAAATCCTGGCCACGCCCATCATTCATCAATAAAGCATATTCCTATTCAGACTGGCGGAATAGCCTACAATTGTATTCCTCCATGAATGATGTGACCAAGACGCAATTCGCGCAAGAGACTTGTATCAACGCGACCAGGTTCGTAAAGCCAAAGCATAACGATTCCCATGAAACAAGGAAGGAAGCCGACTTACTTTAACGGTTAGGGTTAGGCCTACGGCTACGCGTTTAATCAGTTATGAATGCGAAAATTAAAAAATCTTTTTCCCTCGGTTTTTCAGGCTCGTTCACAAAGAATTACGCAAGTTTTCGATCCGACATTAAGAACAGTTGTTTAATCATTGCATTTATATTGTATTTATTTTATTAAGCCTAAAAACAAAATACTGACAAATATACGGTGCTAAAAAAGGTAACATCTAGTTTATTTATTTAAAGAATCGAAGGTGAGTTTGGACAGAGCCTCACAATATGGCAGCCTCCATACGTCAGATGAAACTGAAGAATGTTGTCGTGCGCGGGTCATTCAATCATCAAAATCGTCAACCAAGTCAAGAGAACTAGTCGTTAATTTACACAAAACATGAGTTAAATGTAATAATGAGCTAACTGTGGTTGTAAAATTATGTTTACGTAACTAAATCATTGTACTTTTTGTAGATGTACGTTCATGTGATGGCGAACATTGGCGAAATCGATCGCAACAAACTTTTCGTCATCACTTCGGAGAAAATTTATTACTGCGCATGCGCACGGCGCATATCAATGCAGATAAATTGTGGCATGGACACGATGGGTGCACTGATCTATATATAAAGACTGGATAGCGGATATCCATACACCGTTCACACAGTAGACTTTGCATATTGACCAATTCGCCCCCGGTCTCGCGAAGATGGCTACGTATAGTACGAACGTTCTACTTCTACGCGTATATAGCGCGCGCTGTATCAAGAGTTGACCCGCATTTTGGTCACGTACACATATTATGATGTTCTAAAAATTTCCGTAGTGATTATTATAACCAAAACGCCAAAAATGTGAACTGCGGCATTAAAAAAGTAAACAATGACGTTAGAAAAACTGTAAACCTTGGTCAGTGGTGCATGGTGGTGGTCAAATATAAGTTAAGTGAACCGCAATGATACAAAAGATATCATGCTGTCTATAAAGATGGCAACTTGTCCTTTGTAGATCACCAGCCGGTCTCACCGGTCTTACCAATATGGCGTCAAATTCATTCATTGTGCGGTTCATTATCCGCTATCCAGTCTTTATATAGAGATCAGTGGATGGGTGCAGTGAACTAAAATCAAGTGAGAATTTCTATGCGAGCTCATTAGCATAAAAGGTCCCCCCCCCCCATAATTTCTTTTGAAAACGGAGACCGTTTGGCTTTAACAACGGTGGAATTGTGTAAATATGGCCAAGGATCAACTCCCTGGATTCGGGGGCTTCCATCTGAAGGCAGACTTCATAAAATTACGGTTCAAAAATGGGTCCTATTTGCCTGAAAAAGTGGAAGGATGCCACTTGTAAAATGGCTACATCATGCAGGCTTGGGAACTGTCACTTTTCGGGAGGTGATTTTGTTTTGGTGTGAATATTTAAAAATTTAATGGGCTAGTCTACCCAAAATTAAAACGAAATAAAAAGATGAAGGACAAGACAATAATTTAATTTTGTTTGAGAAACCCCAGTGATGTCGGCTTGCATGTTATTTGGCCCTGAACTTTGTTAATTTGACACTGTTTTCAATGGGGCTTGAATTGGTTCAGTGCACCCTGATATGGATGGCATGTGGGGGACGTGGTAACCAATTCCACATTTTTGCAATTTGTCATCAAATCCAAAAAACAAACCAACATGGAAACCTTTCAACCCCAAAGTAGGAGCATACAAAACAACTAGCCTAAATATACTAGTACTCCAAGATCAAATTAGGCAAAATAAATATTAAAAAACCATTTTTACAAATTTTAGCGTCCTGCCTTTTTGGGAAAAAAAATTGAGAGGCCCTTTTTTGGGGGGGCCCGGGGGCTATTTTTCAAGTTGGCGGCCAGTTTGTTTGTTTTAAATCGCAGCCATTGGACTCGGGGGGGGGGGGGGGGGGGGGGGGGGGGGGGGGGGGGGAATTTACCAGCTTTATGTTATGATGAGTGCTGAATGGTAACACCCTTCATGCCCATGGTAACACATACATGAATGATGTACCAACCGATGACGTCATTCTGCATGCCTTGATCTGTATGCCCAAGGGAATGTGCACCACTCTCATGACTCTGTCTGTTTTATGGGGGTTTTTTTTTGCCAAAAAACGCCATTAACAGGTGCGCGCGCGCACCACCGATTATACTAGCGCCCATTAGATAAACACTCTAAGTTGTGCATCAGCTTTCGGTTCAATGGATCATCATCAAACGCTACTTAAAGGGAATGTACATCATTGGCTTTTGCTGTAATTTTTAGAAATGATCTAATTGCGGGGTTAGTATAATAGATCAAATATTGTTACACTAACTTGTTTGAAGTTTTGTGTTCGAAAATGCTGGAAAAACCAAGGAAAAAAAATGTTTAAGCAGTCTGGTTCCCTGACTCCACTCAAGATGAAATAGATCAATATTTTTAGATGCCGGAAAATTGTAAGGTAAGGGAACCAGTCTAGCCTACCTGCACCCGTTCATAAACATGTAACCAATAGCAAACAAAATTTGGACTGAAAAAAATGGTAAATTTGGATCAGTAGTTGAAAAATAGTCAGGTTTTTCCAACGGTGGTCGGCTGACCACCGTTGGAAATGTATACAAAAATACTGTTTTCTTGAAAATGACTTCACAGCAGGTGCAATAATTTTACAGGATGCTTTCCACTGTCATTTATCAACATTCTAGTAAAGTATTTCGTAAAAACTTGGTAGTTTTATTTTTTGATGTTTGCAAATGATGTATATTCCCTTTAATTGCGGGTGGGCGTGGTTTTAACTGAACTGACGTCATACAATGTACTAACGAAATGGATAAGAGTGATGTCTGTTTACCTTCATGCAGATGGGTCACAATCACAGCAGCAGCTCCAGCAAGCACAGTCTGGGGGAGTGGCGAGACTTCCTCTTCTCCCAGGGACACCTGCTCAAACAGGTGGCGACGCTGAAATATGCAGACTTTGTACAGGCAGTGGATGGCCTTAACACCATGTAAGTTGTTCAGGGGGTCACAGGTGTAACTGGGAGTCCAATTTGTTTCTAAATAGCTACAATGTATGTTGTAAAAGGGAAAGATTTCCAATATACAAAGTTCACTCAACACCCTGTGTACAAACCCTATGAGATTGGACTGAAAATTCTAAGTGTTTTCTAAGAAAATGCTTGTATTTTCTCACTGCTCAAATTGACTTTGGTGACATGAAATTGCTATCTGGGGGCTTGTTAGTCAATACAGAGGAAAATTAGTGAACTTCGTATATGGAAATCTTTCCTGTAAAAGAAGTATGATGTGCTCCACTGTTGATAACTCATTGAAAAATGGCAGTGGATATTTTGCCGGAGACGGCAAACCTTTAGTAAACGTTAGTTTGCCGGATAAGCACTGAACATGCGCAGTTACTGTTTTTTTGTACTTGCACATTTTCCGGTGACAAATTTTAGTCTGGCTCCATGCCAACATTATCGCTGTAACTTCATATTCACAAGATGGGAATCAGACCATTTTACATTTTCGGATTTTATTTCCCTTTAAAGAAAATCCTCCAGAGCCACAAATCTGAAAAAGAAAATGTAATACTCTGCAATAAAATGTTTGAGACATGTTAAAATAATAAAAGAAGAATATTCTTATTTTTTGGGGATGGGGAAAAAAAACCTTAGAAATGTCGCCAGCGGGGATCGGGATCGAACCCGGGTTTTCCCCGATCATGAGTTCCATTGCTTATCCACTAGACCAAATGTGCTACACGACTATTGGTGGTAATTTAATATATCTTATAATTCAGCCCTATCTTAGAGAGTACAGTGCCCTCTGTTGATATGGATTGCCGCCGACAAACCTTTTAGTAAAAGTTAGCTTGCCGGCATTACCTCCGGCAATATATCCACTATCTTGAAAAATACTTGCACATTGTTCACATCAAAATACATTGTACTTAACACACAATTGAAGTTATTAAACCCTTTTTCATCTTTACACAGCTCCAACACATTAAGCAACTCCAACGGCAAATACCTAGTCTTCAGTATCATTCCAGGTACCGACTGCACAACGATACTCTGGAAGTCTCGGGTCAGGATCCAGTGTTGTAAGGTTTGTCTAAATTACAGAAACTTTGAAGGGGGAGTGTGGCTGAGTGGTTAGGATTTGTGCTTCATGATCAGAGGGTCAGGGGTGCTGGCCATATGTTGTGTCCTTGGGCAAGCCACTTCACCCCAACTTGCCTTGCTCCACCCAGGAATGGTTACTGGCAATAGACTAGCGCCCCATCCAGGAGGAACAGAAATATTCTCCTCCATTTCATGCCAACTGAAAGTGGAGACAAGTACTGGCCTGATTATGTGACAGACTTGAATTTGCTACATTACATGGAGAGCCATGGCCTCGTGGTCTGGAGCATTGAATTCGTGGTCTGCGGGTAATTCTGTAGGTTGTGGGTTCGAGTCCAGCCTGGGGTTGTGGTGCGTGTGCCCTTGAACAAGGCGCTTTGTCACTCATTGCTTCTCTCCACCCAGTAGTAGATGGGTACCTGTCAGAGCCGAGTTGGTGACTGTGAGAGGTTGATTTACGGCCAAGAGCGCCAAAATGGCTGCCTATCGGCCATGTATGCTTCCCAGGGAGTTGAGAATATTTCAAGAGTATTTTCCTGTTGAACAGGGGTAATAATTAGCGCTGTGATGCCCCGTTTAGAAGAGCTCTATAAAATGCCTGTAATTATTATCAATATAAGCCCACACTTTTAAAGCTTCTTTGTACTGGATCCGGGCTTCATGCTTTATCATGAGTTAACATCCTTGTACCTTTGTCAATGCAGATGCTTTGTGCAGAGGACAGATGCGAATCCACACGGATAATGACCCTCAAACAGTTTGTGCAAGTCTACGACAGTATTATGCAGCAGTGCAAGAGTATTGAAGACAGACTAAAGGGGAGGGGAGATAAGGAAAGATGCAGAACCGATCAAGACGATGACTTCCCCGCGGTTACGGGAGATGCTAAATGTGATGAGAAAGAGGCGCAGTGCACATGCAGGCTGGGCGGGGCATCGGAAGAAGCATCGGGGGAGGAATCGAGGGCGGAGCTAAGCGCAGCGAAGGAGGGTGACCAGCCGCACCCGAGAATGCCAGATGGCTGGCTTGAGGTCTCGACAATATTTGCTGCGTAAGTGCTTTTATTTGTTTACCTTGCTTTCCGACACGGCGGTAGAGGTTGCTTTCAACAAGATTAATCGAATCCAGTGTTGGGAACTTCGGCAGCGCTACCCAGCGCTGTATTAGAGGAATAACAAATCCAAATCTGGTCTTGGACCAAGACTTATGCCCATACAGGAGTATTGAATCTTTGACGTGTCTTATCATTCACAGTGTGGAGCAGGTGTCGTTGGAGTCCATCGATGAAGGTGACTGCTGTATCTGTATGGAGAACAAGGCTGACATAGTTCTGAGCTGTACTCACACGTACTGTCACCTTTGCATTGAAGACTGGTGCGAATCCTTAACATATTTATCAAAGTATATGTGATGCAATCAAGCTACATGAGTCGTTTGTCGACCCTGGTCAAAATTGTTCTTTTTTACAGATTTGAAAACAGCACAACCTCGGCATTACTGCTGTGAAAACCGCATGCTGATACCATCTTTAAAGCTATAGTCCATCATTTGCAGCCATCCGAAAAGTAACTGGCATAATTATTGTTGAAAAACATACTTGGTTGAAAGATAGTAAGGGGACTAAACTCCCTGTGAAATTATTCTTTCTAGAAAGCTGTCAATTTGAAGTAATCAACGAAAGAAGGCCTTTCCAATGGTGCTTCTTAAGACACACCGTAGGAAATTTAAATTAGTAGTTTGTTTTGTTATTCGACGAAGCGCGCCCAAGCATTGGCACGACGCACGCGCGCGCGGTTGCTATAATTCGTCGGATCGGTGCGCGACATCGCGTAGCTGCTTTCGGCTCTGTGAGAACGTGTCTCAGATGCTGAATTCAGGCCCAATTCAAAACATGAATCAGCAACTTTTGATTTGAAATTGAGATCGTAAAATACTGTTTTTCTCGGAATATACAGCTGAAGCTGAGCTGAACCTTCATCAGGTTAGTTGTTCAGTACCCTTCTTTAGATTCTGAGCACTTTTGTTGCTTCAAACAAACAAAATGCACAAATTACAAATGATGGACTATATCTTTAATTAAAAAAATATGGAAGTCGGAACACCAAGAGATATGATGAAGTGATGTGATGAAGTGGCCCTATTTTGGCCTGTACCTCCAAATATAAATTCCTGACAAACAACTCATTAAGCTTGACCACATCACATATTGTGTTACACAGTGCTGTGGTGGGGTCCATCTCGAGTCTTTGCAAATTCTCAGAAATTCAACACAATTTATCACAAGTCATCCAAACCTAAGTCATACAATCCTTTGTTATCGTTATTCCCCTGTTACTATTATTGATGGGACCTACTAAAGCGAACTTGTGATTTAAATCAATATTTGGTTTTGCCCTTCACCGACATAAACACTGTATACATGTACATGTAGTATACTCATATGTGTTACCTCCCGAGTGAGGTAGCACACAGTATAATAGTGTTTATACGTGTACGTCGGTGAAGGGCAAAACCTAATGTTGATTTATATCACCCCGACGCAAATTCATCTTATGAATAACTTGTGATTTACTTGTGACAGGACTTGTGATTGACTTGTGATTTACTTTTGTGTGGACTTTCGATGGACTTGTGATTTACTTTTGAGTGGACTTGCAATGGACTTTGTTTGTGACTGGAGTAACAACGGACTTGACTTTCAAAACTTGCTTTGCAAGCATTGAGTATTTTTTTACAAACGACAAAGTGTATCTACTTCTTTAATCCTGCAAAACTGTCGAATCCTCCTTGCAAAAGGATGAACCACTTAAGAAAAAAATTGAATCCCCCCCAAAAATCCATCTAATGAATAAAAAAATTTAACCCTTTGCCTTCCTCAACCCTTACAGGAGGAAGCAACATAACACTTGCCCCATGTGCATGGGTGACATAGGCACGACCAATGACCTCTGGGCGCTGCCGGACAAACCCAATGCCGATGAGATGACCACGTACCTGATGAGCATCGCCGACAGCAAGGAGCAGCGTAGAGCAGAGAATCCACAAACAAACAGACCAGAGCCCGAAGAATGGGAGAAGGTGTCATTTGAATGGTAGTCTCGGTCCAAGACTGGATTTGACTTTTGTTCCAGTAAAATATTGTTTGATCAGTTACACAGACAACCAAAGGTTTCTTCCACTTCCCCTGCCATGCATCTGTACACATGTACCAGGCATGCAACTTTTCCTCGAATCCGCTGATTTCCTCGTTTTTTACTTCTCGTGAATGACATTACAAATTGAAAAACACTGTACAAAGTCTTGTGTGGTTTGGAATTTCCTCGTTTTTTCCTGAATTCCCAGTTGCATGCCTGATGTACAGACTAACTAGTACAAAAAAAAACATACAGATCACATTCGTGTGAACACTGTACCTTGTCAAATTCCATCATCAGACAAAAAAGGTAACAGGTTGAGCTGGCATATCAATCACCTCCAGTCAAAGCATGCTGTATGAAATTAAGAAGGGAATTTCTTTACTGTTAAAAACAGTCACGTGATTGATTTTGACTGCTGTGTTGCCGAAGCTGAATTTGCCAACCGGAGAGGGAGGGTAAGACAGTCCCGATCCACCCGACCCACGACGAGGGTAGTCAAGCTGCCGCAGTCTTTCTCTCCTTGCTCCATATGCTATACACTGCGATACGCATCGCTTATATTTACCATTGATATGACAAGCCTAGGTGTGTTGTCCCTAATGGATATAAGACTAGTCAAGTCACCTTTGACTTTAAAATGTCTGAATTCAAGTGGTCATTAATAAGCTATTTGCGAAATATACATTCACATCCACTTCCCCTGTTAGACTTTTAACAAGTGTTTAACAAAGGCTAGTCACCAGCAGTCAGATCATATGTCAAGCAAGCACTGTGACTAGTCAAACTGGGTCAGCAGACAAAGCAGGCAAGTTGTGGTCATCACAGCTGTTTTATCACTCACACGGAGTCAAAGCATAGCTGTATAGCAGTCCCAGCCAGTCAATCCTGCTTTTTACATGCATGTGGACTGGAAATTCTTAACTGTTGAAAACAGTCATTTGATTGATTTTTAACTACAAGGACAACTTGACACAGAATGTAAGTTTGCATAGGAGGTTTAATAGATAACCCTTTGCTCATTTTATAGTTCCAAATATTGCCCTTAGAAATATGTGCTAATAAATTAGCCTCTGTACTGAACGTCACACGTTGTTTAAATGTGTGCTTTCGTAAGGGAGCCATATGGGGACGACGGTTTCGTAGCCCCATAGAAAGGCGCACACGTAAACAAAGTGTGACGATATCAGCACAGGGGCTTGTTCAGCTAAGAGGAGAGTCCAACTATCTGTGGTCACAACCTTTTTGAATGATTATGTCTTGATGAGACTGGTAACAAGTCTACTTGGATGTGGTGCGTACACTAAAGTCAAGTAGTCATCATTCACAATCCGAAACGTCTCAAATAAGAGGTCATTTCCGCCCTATAACTTGGAGGACTTCTCTCTAATAAACACAAATTTTGCCATAAAAGCTCCCCTTGCGCATGTGTACTCACTCACTTGATTCTAGAATCATTAACCCTAACTCCCTAGCATGATTTACCAGGAACCACACCCATCCTGGCAAATTCCAACACCATATGGGAAACTGCACACACTTATTTCTGACTTTGATTCTGGAGGTGTGCCAACCCAATGTAAGAGACTGTCAGTTTAGGGGTACTGTACCCATCCTGACAGATTCCAACAAAACATGCCGTTGGGGTTTGATGGGTTGAGTTTTGTGATTTCTGTATGGGTTAAGTTTCACAAAATATTCTGGAAGTACACATTCTAGAAAAGACTTTCTAGAAACAAACAAAAAACAGTCCCTTTCTAGGACCGCCCATCTTATGAATAGTTTGGTTGCGGTACCCGCTGCTGTATCAGATTTGAACCAGCCAGCCGCCCCCGGCATGCTCCGTGGTTGAGTGGTAAGACGTCTGCACTAGTAAGCAGGAGGTCGTGGGTTTGAGTCCCACCCGAGTAGTTTGTGATTTTTCTCACAATCACTTTAGGACAACACTGAGTAGCCTAAACAGTGTTGTTAAAAAAAAAAAAAATAAATCGGTGAGGGGCAAAACCAATATTTAAACCAAGTGTATTTATCAAATTCTTTCCATAATTATAATTTGTAAAAAGGCCAGCAAACTTTACCGGTAATTGAAAAACAGTTCAGGAAATTTCTAAAAATGTACTTCTTACCACTATTTTAAAATTTTGCTTTATTTACTGGTAGGCTCTTTGCAAGTAACATCACACTTCATGTATACATGTATAACACATAATTATAAACCATATACATGTAATAAATACAATCTCAGTTATTAAGGTTAACATATTCTTCTAGTTTATTTCCTTTTAAAAAGAAAATGTCCAAGAATTGCATGAAGTTTAGCGAACAGTCTCTTCTATTTTTCTTCTCAGCTAAGAGATGCCTAAATGCTGCTTCAGCTTTTCCAATTACTTGATCCAATTCATCTGCAATATGTTTACTTCGACTTGTTCAGCTGATAATAGCACCTGTATTCTCTGCACTCTTTTTTAATTGTTGCTGAAATCTGCGGGAAGATATTAACATGCGCAGAGTTATTGTTTTAGATGTTCTACTTATATATTGCTGTTAGTGTACTATAATATACTTACAGTTGGTGTATACGTGCTTTTTTGGGTGTAGTAGCTTGAAAACTTGAATTGATAATTTTCTAGCATTACATTAGTTGTGAACTTTCCAATGAGACATCCCACGAAAAAAATCAGCTCATGACAAGTAATCAATTTATTTCAACTTTTGAATTAAGAGCGGGACACTCCGTTCTGAATAGTGTGCGCAATTTCTGAACTGGAGCGCGCCATTTAAAACCACTTTTTTTAAAACTGTATAAAGGCCTTCCAAAACAAACAAGCAAATTTATTTGTTACGGGACGTTATATTCCTTTAAATTTCATTCGAAAAAGAAATTCGAAATTTTGAAAAAAAAGCATTTATGTACCAACTTTAACTGTACGATTTCATTCAATATATAAATTTCTGAAAATGTAACATGTACATTCAAAATGTATTTATTTACCCAGTTGTATTTAATGCGTGGAAACATGCCAAGTAAAGGACACAGTAAAGTTTGTACATATAATTAGTTTTTAATTTATTGCATCAAATGTATAAACAAACACAGAAAATAAATAAAACACAAATAAAATGTAATCAATTCAACAATGACTGATGCTGAAATAAATATTACTGGTTTGGAAATTTTAGTTGTAGCTTTTAGTTTTAAGCTGCCCTTGTGAATAATTATAGAAAATTGTTTATAAGGGCATGTCACGAGAAAGTGGACATGGCTGTCTTGGTTGAAAAGTGGAACATTTATCATAAATATTCAGATTGCAGAACTACAGAGTGTACCCAGAAAATTGCAACATTTAGAAAACAAAGAATTAAAACTGTTAACTGTGGATTTTTTTTCTTTAATGAAATTATACATTACATCAAAGCCCGACTATTTCTCAATCCACTCCTTTTTACCCATTCCTAGATCCAGAAATAAAGGGTGTAAATTTTACTTGGAGTTTGTGTTTTGTACCCCTAAAAAGCCACTTAGACCAGAAAAATAATACCTATGACGATTTTAGGGACTTTTTCTAAAGACAAATGGACGAATCCTGGAGAAATTGAAATGACAAAACTGTTTGGATCCCTGTAGCTGTACATTTTCAATGGGCCGCTTATGCATTTGGTTTCGTCTGCGTCTTCACCGTGGAGCGATGTAAATTTTATGTCCCTTGATTCGATATTAGGCTAAGCTAAAGCTTATATTTCATTTTTTTTTTAATAAATGAAGCATCATTCATGATTCATGATCCAGTGATGAAGTTAAGCCGAAGCGGCGGAACAGACCTATCCTAGGTTTGGAAAACACCGAACATCATGGTGACCGTTTTAGCCGATTTTCGGCTAACTTTGACTGATTTTTTTGTTAAAAAAAACGAGTTTGACAGAAATTTGACAGAATGAATTTTGTTTGCAGATTTCTAGCTGAATTCTGCATAAATAGTTATTTGACAGAAACAGCAAATTTGAAAATATTGTACATTTGTTAAGCTTCAATCTTATTCAAACAAACCCTTGCATAATGGAACAGGTTGGCTGGTCTAGGTGCTGAGGTTCACTGGGAACCTGACATAGTCGTGACGCAACCATGCATGTTTTGCCTGAAATTTGCATTTCAAGTAACATCTTTATGTTTGTTTACAATGTAATTTGAACCTTAATTAAGGCAACTCTACAAATCTGCATGTGATTTTAAGTGTTTATAGTGTATTTTGAGCATGGAGGTATTCCTCCATGTTTTGAGTAATTCTGGGGAATTTGGCATATTTTTGATAAATCTGACCGATTTTTGAAGCGCATTTAGCAGAATTTGGCCATGACCTTACGGTTACCCTGCCGAACATACCGAAGTGCCACTTGAGGGCGCTGTTGCTGCAAACTTGGTAGAGACAGAAAATACTCGATGTCCCCTAAAAATTTGTAAAACTAGACGAAAAATAGACATCTAGAAATGTCATAATAAGTATTCTTATGTTATTTACTAGGTAAGTGTTCTTGCAACGTTTTTAAATCAAAATAAAACTGCAGATTGGCATGTATTTCAGAGCTAAATAAATTGAAAGAATGTATCCAGGCGTGTCACTCAGTCGTGCTTGTGAAGTGTAAACAATGATGAATGATTGATTGTAGTTTTTACTGTAGGCTACCTATACTAGTAAGTTTAGCCCCATAAATGTGGCCAATTAACTAAAGTACCTGCGTAAATAAAGGCCACACTTCCACCATGTACACAAACATGTCGAACTTTGTCAAATTTTGTTTTTCACATTTATTTTAGGCTTAGTTCTTTTAGTTTATTTTTGCTTTCATTTTCAAATTCAAATTAGAAGCATACTCACCCCCTTTATAGTTTAATCAGAAAGTGCTGCCTTTTTCAGATGTCAATTTTTCGTGAAATTTCCAGATTTGTTTGCACATGTTTGCGTATCAAAATTTCAATTTGTTTGCACATGTTTGCGTATCAAAATTTCAACATGAAATTTCACGAAAATTTGACATCTGAAAAAGGCAGCACTTTCTGATTAGCCAATACAAAGGGTGAGTAGGCCTACATGTATGCTTCTAAAGCAAAAATAAACTACAAACTAAGCCTAAATGTGAAAAACAAAATTTGGTAAAGTTTGACATGTGTTTGTAGGCTACATGGTGGAAGTGTGGCTTTTATTTACGGAGGTTACAGTCCAGTAAATTGGCCACATTTATGGGGCTAGGCTACCTCACACAAGTAAGTCAGACGTCAAGTGTTGGAGCAATGCTGAAATCTCTGCAGTGGCAAACCCTTGAAGATAGGCGTACAAGACTCACGATGTTCTACAAAATTCACCGTGGTTTGGCTGCCGTCAACATGCCAATTGAGTCCAAGAATTTAGATGCTCCTACCCAAACAGAAAACTCACAAGCCTACACAATCCCGTCTTGCTCCAGAGAATATTACCAGATGTCCTTCTTCCCCCGCACTGTAAGTCAATGGAACAAGCTTCCCGAATCTATTGTAGAGGCTTGCAACCCAGCAGATTCTAACTACATGTACTAATGGGTCTTCAATGTCAAAATAGTAGTGTACGCATTCCATCCGCAAGTTGCGAACCCAACAATGTGCCCCAGTCTTCAACATTATGAAGTTGGCGCAGAGCTTGGAAGGAGAAGCATTGGAGCTTGAGTCAAGCCAGATTGATTGTATGAATAGTTGAGTGATTTTCCAAAGTATTTTCTATCAAAATTGAAATGTTTCTGAGCCCAAGCTAGATTCATCATTTGTTGAAGTACATGTAAAAATGATGTACCTCTACAGTACGTAGCTTGACTCCAGCTGACGTGCTCATCCGGAATTCCTGATAAAAAAGATATAGGCCTATGGAAGATAAAAAAGTGGTGTCAGGATGCAACGTTCTTTCCAAATAAAATTAATGATAAAATGTACAATGACACAAAAAATCTTGAACTAACTTGTTAACTCATGGCAACAGTGTGAACCATGGTAACAGTATAAACCATGGTAACAGTATAAACCATGGTAACAGTATAAACCATGGTAACAGTATAAACCATGGTAACAGTATAAACCATGGTAACAGTATAAACCATGGTAACAGTATAAACCATGGTAACAGTATAAACCATGGTAACAGTATAAACCATGGTAACAGTATAAACCATGGTAACAGTATAAACCATGGTAACAGTATAAACCATGGTAACAGTATAAACCATGGTAACAGTATAAACCATGGTAACAGTAACACACTACACAGTCACAGGAACTGGTTGGATAACAACTGTGAAAACTAAAGCTTTCACAAACCTTGTATTTTACTTAAAAGATAGAGTTTAGACACTCTCTGTGACGTATTTCACCAACCTACCACCAGCAAGGCAAAACTGCTTAAGACTGAGCTGAGTGCTGCTTATTGCATCGTTGTAAACACTTGTCTCCCCTATCCCAGAAAGCTCCGCCCACTCTACCCACATCACCTCCAAGGCCAAGCAGCAGTCGCCTGAGTGGTTTTATCGGTAGTGCTGTCATGTCTGAGAAAACTGCCGGCAAGAACCGAGATGGCCCCGGTGCACCTTCGTACAACTTCATGTTGCAGGAAGAGGATGTGGAGGCACTAGGGACAACATTCAGGGTACGGTACTAAGTTGTTACACCCTAACTAATACATTGGTTCTAAAGTTCAGTTATAACTGTCCCAACTAAAAGACTGATGTCTTGCAGAATGCAGACGTTAATGACACTGATTTCATAACAACCAGACACACTAATCAACAATAATCAAAATATCATTTGTTTTCTATTAATCATGTTTAGGAAAACGTAGTGGCTATTGTTACGGGAGCTGTAATGCAATTTTCAATGGCTATCGTTACGGCACTCGGGCATTGCAAAAATATCGTTGCGAATCTGTATCACGTTTACAACTGTTTACAATGTTTACAAACAGAGTGCTTCAGTTATTTGATTGGTTTAAAACATTCAGCTACATGTAGTACATGTACTTTGCATGCAGAAGGTTCCGGGATCGAATCCCACGCGGCGAGTTTATTACTATTGAATTTTTTTATATAGTTTTCTCAACTGTTATGTTCTAGTCAAATCATTTTTTTATTTCAGTAGATTACATTTTCTTCTTTGCAATCAGTTGCCGGTGAGAATTTTTTTGTAAAAGGGAAATCAAGTTTGAGAACTTTCGGTTGATAGTCTGGTTTAAACAGCCAAAGATCGTGATAGCAGTCGAAAATTGCATTACGGCTGCCGTAACGATATCCACTGCGTAAAGGAAAACACACTTATTCATGGACGGAAGAACAGATTTGTTATGTCCCTTTCAAAGGTACATGCTGTGTTCTGCCCAGGATTTGGCAGATATAAATGAGGGAATGTCCAAGCCGTCAGTTGATCTGCATTCTCCAATTTATTGAGCTAACAAACTTACTCATGGTCGCAACAAGTAACCAGCACGCATACATGCGCGTGTCACAATGGATGAATATTCATAATCCATTGTATTATTAATAATCATAATTACAGAACACATTATCTGATTCAACTGAACATTTTCGTGTGTACTAAGCAGGAATGTTTCTGCTAGCATTCCAACTTTCATAATCCATCTATGTTGCATTTCCGAGATCCAAAGGAGCTTGGACTCTAAGGAGCTGAATTCATGGTAATTCCCAAATCTGTGAACCCAGTTTTTTGTTCATAACTTTCTTCACCTAATAACTTCTCAGGTAGTGTATGCTGATGAGGGGTCGCCAACTGATCCAGTTATCGTTTGTGTGCACGGGGCGCCAGCCACTCACAAAGCATACAGGCACATTGTACAGGGTCTGACGTCACAGGGATACAGGGTCATCCTGCCCAACTTGCCAGGTACCATTTGTATTCGGAAAACACAAACTGTTTCACACTAAACGGTTAACTTGTGTGTTAACGCATGTGTTAACAGTGCAGTTACACAAATTAAAGCATCGGTCCCAACTGTAGTTGGATAGTCCCACAGTAATATGATTTGACAGTTGCAGGGGGTGCCCATTTGCACAGAACACTTTCGTCCGTAATGCCAACTTCTGAATTGTTCACAGGAATTGCCCTCATGGAATGAAAGCCATGACCTCTCGTTTATCAAAGCTTTAGTTTCCCTTTGTAACACGATTGCAATATTAGACAATATAAGTTAACCCTTTAGTCACTGTACCGCCCCAAAGCACCCCGTCTTTTACTCACTGTGGTGCCTGAAACTACCCAAGCACTCTATTGTTTTAAGGCATAATGTAGTAACACAGTGTAATACAAATGGGTTAGAGGTAGGGTAGATCAGTTGTCATTCGTGCATTTTTCTTTTGTTTCAAGCTACAAAAGTGCTCAAAATCTAAAGACCGATGCTCAACAACTAATCTGATGAAATTTAGCTCAGTGAAACCAGTATGTTTTGAGAAAACAATATTCTAGGATTTTGATTTCAATTCAAAAGTTGCTGAGTCATATTTTGAAATGTGCCTGGAATCAGCATCCGGGACACATTCTCATTCAGCCGATTGCAGCTACGCGTTATCACGCGCTGACCCAACGTATAATAGCAACTGTGCGCACGTGTACGTTGTGTTAACACTTGCGCGCACCCATACACGGATTCTCCAAATTACAAACCAACTTTTATTGGAAATTTCCAAAATGCGTCACTAGTCACATCTTTGGAAACAGCCTTCTTTTCATTGTTTTCTTCAAAGTAACAGCATGCCAGAAGGAATAATTTCACAGGGAGTTTAGTGCCGTTACTATCTTCCAACCAAGTAAGCTTTTCAACAATAATTTAGTCTGTTACTTTTTGGATAGCTGCAAATTATATATTCTAACCTTTAAAGCTTTCTGTGATCTTGGCACTTCAAGGAATGGGATTGACAGCTCTGGATCCAGGTGGGGTTTACAACCACACGACAGAACACAAGTCTGAGGTCATCAGAGGACTGCTGTCCAAGATTGGTATTCAAAGGTGAGTCTTTGCCTAGAAATAGTCATGTCCATGCACAAGGTCGTATTGGCTGTACATGAAAAGCGAGTTTCAGAATGTCAAAAGGTCGTATCTCACCTAAAATAACCCGGATGCACACCAAAGTCAATGGACGTTGAGATACGACCTTGCTGCACGGAGCGTATTTGCGCGAGATATGACTTAGTTGCAAAAAGGAGTTACGACCTTGTTGCACTGACGCGACAATCTGATAGATAACTTCTCTTGTCTGAAAAAAATTGAGTTCCACACAAGATTGGCTTCAACCATAGAGCTATATTAAATTACTAGAGCGCTAACTTCATGTACAAAGTAATGCCTGCTGGGCGCATCCATGTTTGTGCACAAACGTATATGGAGAACTAGAAATTTTGTACGGCTTTTGTACAGCTATTTGCATATCTGCATTTGTATTCCATACTGGTGCGTTATTGAAGCCAATACGCCTAAAACCGAAACGCACGATCAGCAAATGAGCGTGTCATTTTGCTCTAGATGCAAACAGTGCAACGCGTGCGCATATTCGCTGCAGCTGCTTCTTGCCGTCACTTTTTTTTAACCGTCAATGACGCGCTTAAGTTGTGTGCGTATGTTCTACTTGCGTGTTGCATGTAGAGTACACTTTCAAAATTCAATCTATCTAATTTCATTATGTTCTACAAACACGCACATGAAATCAAAATTTGTCTGCGCCCAGGACGGCTTCAAAGCGTCTCCGCGTGCAGAATGACGAGTTAGCGCTCTAGTAATTTAGCTCTATGGCTTCAACACACCTCCTAAATGGATGAAGGACAGAAGTGGTTTTAATTACCCGTACCCTCCGTAGTCTTCCAAAATCAACCAGGTGGTTTTGTAGGATTTTGGAGGATTGAGACTGAATTGCACAAAGGTGTCAGTTGATTTTGAAGGATGCATTGTGTCAAGGTCTTAATCTGTACCCAGCATATAGTTCAGCCATGCATAATTGGAGCCTACTTTATACTAGACATCATCCCCACTGCTTCTGGATATCATCCACACTAGCTGCCTCAATGTATTGCAGTTATTGTTGTAGCAATTTGAAGGATTAAGACACATGGTCTCCCCTTCAATTAACAAATTCAAGAAGTAAGGGGTGATTTCGGAGGATTGAGGCTGAATCAATTTTTTTTACATGGTGGCAGGTGGAGGATTCTGAAGGATTGAGGATGGATCCTATCCAAAAGCCAAGTTAAACTTGTCAAAAATAACCAAAATAATTATTGCAAATGTGCACATCCGCAATTCTGGTTACATTTTTTTTTTGTCTTAAGGATGGGACTTTGCGTTTAATTTTGTAAATGTTTAGCAAATCTATTATACACCCTTTAAACGTTAAGACACATCACAAAGGCATGTCACGTCGAGGGCAGAGTAAAACATATGTCACTTTTTACAATGTGGGTTTCGTTTAAATGTTTTAGAAAATGTATAAATGGATTTAGATTTCTTCTTGTTTAAACATTTAAACGTGTGAACGTCACATCCTTATTTTGTCTCCACACTATTTACAACCATTTTAAAAAGTATGATGTTGAAACTTTTTCAAATTATACATGAATCAATTATGAAACTCAGCCGGGATTAAAAAACTAAGCTTGTTTGTCAAATTATCATTACAAATGTATGATACGAATTATTGGACATTGATTAGTAATCTGTCGTGCATCTGTGAATGTGGCAGCGCACACTTCAAAAAATATTTTGTTATTTTTATGACACAGTAAATCAGATTTAATATTGAGTTTTGCCCTTCACCAACGTATTGTACAAACACTGTGTACTCAGTATTGTCCTGAGTGATTGTGAGAAACAAATCACTCGGGTGGGACTCAACCCATGCATTCCTTCTTAAGTACTAGTGCACTGAGACGACTTACCCACTCGACCACCGCGCTTGCCGGGGTCAGCTGGCTGGTTCAAATCAGATGTAGCAGAGGGCACCGCAATGAAACAATTCATAAGATGGACTTGTGCGTCGGATGACGTAAATTCCATCTTACGGAAAGAAAGCAGAGTCAGATGTTTTATCTTTGCTGTTTGATGTTAAAAGAAACCTAAATAGAAACAGGTTTGTAGGTCACTGTGGTATGGCTCGCAAACAAATTATATGCAAAACCTGTTCACTATTTTGGGTAATCAAGGTAGTACTGGAAGAATATTAATTCCAAAATGTTAATTCAGTTTCAATTCTATCTTTGCAGTGTTGCTATGGTGGTGGGTCACTCCATGGGAGGTCATGTGACTTGTCAGCTGGCAGCCGACCCAGCGCTAGAGGGCACTATCCAGTCAATATGTCTGCTGTCATCGGCCGGTTCTCGCCCACACAAGTAAGGATAGTCTTTCTTCAAGACTGAAATTTTTATTTTGTCCCCAATCCCTGACAAGTGCAGCCATGCCGCCGCATTTGGAGACTGTCTTGGGAACATTGGCATTGATGCTTAAGAAACTGTTGTTCAGTTGATGAGAAATATTCTAACCCAACAAACTGAGTTACAAGTTGCCAGAGCTATTCTCGAGTAATAGCCCAGAGTCTGACAAGAATCAATAGGAATTACGGTCAACCTTTTCAATCAATTATCTGTATACATATCGTCGGTCGCACCACGGACCGGCGTATCTAGATTTTTTGCCAAATTGAGTTTTTGTCATTAACGTTATTATTTCATCAAAGAGCTCATTCTCAGAAAGTTTTATTCCAATCGGAGTTCTAATTAACTAAGAACGCTAATTAGACTGTGTGGCGTATCTCTAAAAAAATTAAAATGTTGCACCACGAAGTGGCGTATCCCGATACACCGCTTAACACGCTAATTCTCATAGTGCTATGACGTCACAAAGGAGCGTCGACATAAAAAGTGTAAATTTAGCGTTTCACGAACCGACGTATCTCCCTATCTGGCACACGGCCACTATTATGCGCGTTGTATGACATACGATAAACATGATAAAAATCTGTTTCACAAAGTAGCGAGTATCTTAGGAACTGAATTTCTCAAAAACTAAGCAACTCAGATGCACACGGATTGCATACAATAAAGTTTAATTTTTAATTTATTAGCGAAAACGAAACAACTTGATTCTTACACAAGGAGTATATGGAATGAACCTACAAAATAATGACCAACTTTAAATCTGTTTTTCTCAAAACATTATCAAAGTGATTTATGAAGAGCATTGCTTCGCTGCCTACTGCAATTGGAAAAACTACTAAGTGAACATTTGTCCTTAAGACTCATTTTGTGAGATCAGACCATTAGTAATTTTGTTTTAAGTTGAGGTCCCCGTGCTATTTTCTAGGTTCATCCCGAAAAATAGATTCCTTTTCTAACTTGCTATTGTTCTAGCAATCCAAAAGTTATTCACTTTTGAATGAGACGTCAAGGTGTTTAGTTTATATTGAATTATTACTTTACAATTTTGAATTATTGGCTGCCAGACAATAATTCATCACGCAGGGTAGGCTGGTTCCTTTCCCACAATCAGTATCAATAATGAACGGACCAGTCTGCTCGCAAAGCGGATTTGGTTGTGCGCAAAACAAAACAAAATGTCTCTTCAGGGGGTTGCTGATGTCGAAAAAGAAAGGAAAAAAGGAGGTTTTCTTGGTTGAAATAAAATACACAAGTTGTAAATTTATTAATAGAAAAACAAATTGATATTTGTCGAAGAGCACGCAGAACATTATTATTGACATTTTGTAGGTTAGGACGACAGTTTTTTATTATTTTTACTCTAATAGGGCGACACACCTTATTGGAGCGACAGTAATTCTGTTGCCCTATTCTTGAAACCCGCTATATTTTTTGAGTAGGGCTAGGGGTTAGGGCTAGGGTAAATTTTTGTGCACAAGTCTATGGAAGTGTCAACCTATTGTGGTTGTTAGTATAATTCCTGTTAATGTACCCTTAAGGAGACATTTTTCGTCATAAGTTATACCTTAGGGAGACACCGGACATTAAGGAGACATTTCAATGTCTCCCTAATGTCACAACTCCTATTTGGAGACAAAATTGTGCTGTTGCAACTAGGCTAGATCGATTGCTTATGGTCCAAAACGTAAAAGTACCAGAATTCGTGGGGGAAGGATACGGGAAAGTGGGGTAAGGGCCTAAGTAAGGGGTCATTCAAGTTGGAATTATTATTATTATTAGTTTTGTGGATTTGTCTTTAACACCTTTGCAGGTTGTTCAGTCCTTACTGGTTGTACTTCATCTTTGGTCAGTTGATCTACTTCTCAATCAAGCTACCGGTCATTGGCACTGTGGTCAAGCGGATTGTCTCTCACATTATCTCAGCAGCCGGCCTCAGAGGGCTGACTAGAGACGCTGAAGTCTTCTCCTGGTACGAAGGCTCCCAGCTTCACTTCAAAGAAGTAAGTTTTGTTATTTTCTAGTCTCTCAAGGTTGAATCTGACTACAAGTACCTTGGAGCTTGGATCAGCTCCAGTGAGAAAGACCTCAAGACTTGAAGACAAATTATACTAAGAAATAGGGGAGTCAGGTTGGTGTAGCTGTACTTTCCTCGCCTTCCACCGCTGTGACCCGGGTTCGAATCCTGCCTGGGCCAATATGTGGATTGGGTTTTCAATCCCTGCCAGATTCTGTACGTTTTCCTCAGAATACTCTTCTGGGCATTTCCTCCCACCTCTTAAACTGTAATTTCTTCACATTGTCTTCTCTTTACTGGGACCCATGGAAGATCAGTGGATTCCACTGAATGGGTTACCCAGTTAAAATAACAAATAAATAAATAAATATCGTTGCGTCAGTGCAACAAGGTCGTAACTCCATTCTGCAACAAAGTCGTATCTGGCGCGAATACACTCAATGCAACAAGGTAGTATCTTGACGTCCATTGACTTTGCGTGTACATCCGGGTTATTTTAAGCGAGATACGACCTTTTGACATTCTAAAACTCATGTTTTGCGTTCATAACTCCATTTTGCAACAAAGTCGTATCTTGCGCGAATACGCTCCGTGCAACAAGGTCGTATCTTGACGTCCATTGACTTTGCGTGTACATCCGGGTTATTTTAAGCGAGATAGCACCTTTTGACATTCTAAAACTCTCGTTTTGCGTGGTTCACATGTGCCATATTAGGAGATACCACCTTGTTTCACTGACGCGACGATATATAAATAAATAAATAGTATTATTTTTTTCGTTTTACTCAAATACAGTTTGCCACCAACGTGGAACAACTGGTAAAGTTGAACCTACCGGCGCTGTGCTTCTACAGCCACAACGACAAGTTTGTGGAAATGCCCGTCCTGGAAGATACCATTCAGCGACTGGGGATGCGTCTGGAAGACACCGTCAAGTACAACGGGGAGGGCGTTACCATGGAGAACTTCAAAGGTCAGACAACTTTTGATACTGAGCAAAAGAACTTCTCTAAAAATGGGCCAGTACAGGGTGACTGCAAAGAAAATGCAACCGTTACACATTTTGCCTTTAAAAAAAAGAGATCCGTGAATTTTCCCTATGTTTTGGGTATCAGAGTAAAGCTGAGAGCTTTCCTTTCAAATACTGAACAAATCTTAAGAAATGAAGAATAGCACTTTGGGTTGCTGAGAAAATGCCAATTATGTATTAAGTTGTCATTTTTCATCCTGTACACAAGTACTTCAAGCAGTGAAACATTTTACTGTAAGCCTACTGTGCAATTTCTTTAGCATTTTCATATGTTTATGATGATGAAAGGGTTTAAAATCAGACTAAAAGGATGAGATACCTGTTCAGGTGGAAATTAAAAGGTATTTCCATCAAATTAATTTGTACTCTTTTATTACCGGTATTATGTCATTGTCTAGGACATGTCTATGATTAGGACATGCACAAATACGTACAGTGAAAATCCCTTACTGTGGTAGTTTTTTCTCAGGGTTGCATTTTTTCGGGGGTCACCTGTATGCCTGTATGTTATGGTGCTTGTTTTTAAAGAGGTTGTGGAATGCTCGAAGACATTTCCGTCCTTTTTCAGGTATATGTAGCCTAAGGTGTGATGAAATAAAAACGACTATTGTTTCTGTCATGAAATGAATACAAAAGGTACTTTTGAGAGCTGTGTTTCAGGTCCTGCTTCTACCCGAACGTGCAATTTGTGTAAAAGTCGTCGTTCGGGGCAGCAAACAAAACATAGTAAATCGTGACGTAATAAACAGGACTCGTTTTTACTACGCTGCATACATATAGGGAGTCCTGTTTATTACGTCACGATTTACTATGTTATGTTTGCTGTCCCCAACGACGACTTTTACACAAATTGCATGTTCGGGTAGAAACAGGACCTGAAAAACAGCTCTCAAAAGTAAATGACAGAAATGACGGAAATGTCTTCGAGCATTCCACAACTTCTTTAATGGATGAATAATTGTATTGCTGGTCCTAGAGGTATGTTGTGTACCACATTGACTCACTGGCTGCCATGTATGGAATTTGTGTATGAAACAACTGAAAATATTTCTTCTTCCCCTGGATGGGATGCTAGTCCATCGCAGCTTATACCCAAGCTAAAAAATGCTGGTGTAACGTGAATATCCGACTCCATGAAATCTGAACTTATTGGTGGTATTGCGCATGCGTGAGTATAATGATATGCTATTTTTAGGATCTTGGGAGAGTGACCTGTTTACGTGCAAGGGATTAACCAAAAATGGGGAAAAGGGGACCGATTTTCATAGGAGTCGGATTTTCATATGACACCGGTACCCATTTGTACTCCTGGGTGGAGAGAGGTTAATGTTGGTGCCAAATGAACTTGAATGAAGCAATATGTGACCAGCAGCTGGATTTGAACCCCTGACCCTCTGATCATGAGTCACAAACCCCAACCGCTTGGTCACTCTCCCCTTTGGCCAACAAGAAAGGGCGCTATTTTCAACACTTTTTGAGTGAGAACCTTGTGGACAAGACACACTGCGTGTGTGTACCAGTTCCCTTGGGTAATGCACGAAGTACGCTCGACTTATTTATTCTAAACGTGCACAAAGCCATGGTGTCTTCAGTGAGCGTTCTGGATTCCTCGGCAATGCATTGTAATGTCTCTTTAATGGTCTCCTCCAACTCTCCCTTTCTTGCCAATGAGGGGGTACTTGTGCACGGAGCCCGTAGGTTGGGCTTAGTGGATCAAAATTGTTGCCCTGATGTAATTTGTTGTTTCATTTTCATCTCTAGAGGGCGCGCTGAAGAGGGCTGTTCAGTTTGAGAAAGGGACGCACATGGTCCACTACGTCTACCCAGAGCAAGTTGTCAAAGAGATGCTCGCCTTCCTACAAACAGTGGTACGTCCCAAATGATCCCTACAGTACACATGTAAAGTTGGATCATTTCATTCTGAGCAGGAGGGGTTAAGATAGACATCTTGCCATTCTGCAGCTGTAATTTGATGTAATTTATAAGACCTTAGACTTTGATGTATATTTTGATCTGTTTCATGTTTTTATTATTATTATTATTATTAAATCATGGACAACACTGTTTAAACAAAGGAAAGGCATCGTGTAAATGTTTCAATGTACAGTACAATCATTTTATTGGCTGTATTCTTTTTTATCATTTTTAAATCACAACTATATTTATTCAGAATTAAAGAGAAATTTCATTTTTCAGCCGAGCATTGTATGCAGCAAAACTTCTGCCTTTTACGAAATATATATATATATTATGTAAACTGTTATCAAGACAATCACTTTTTTTTTTTTTTTTTTAAATAAGGTTTACACAAAATGGTACTACACCAAGAGGTTACACCTCTATGTTCCAACACCCCTATGTTCCAATTGCACATATTCCTATTTCTATTCTTAACCCACACCCTAACCAGGAGTAACACAATCTTATGTGCCGGTTGTCGGAACGTAGGGGTGTCAGAATATAGGTGTGTCAGAACATAGGGTTATCGGAACATAGTGGTGTCAGAACAGAGCAGTCACGACACCAAGAAACCTGAAATTATTATTTTTTTTTTTTCCCATCTCTCAAATATGTTACATGAACAGTTGCACCCAAAGTGAACTGTTCATGTAAATGGTTCATAAGATGAATTTAAGCTGGACCCTGTCATGTACAAATATACATTCCTCCAAAATGTGTGAAAACTACGAGAAAACCTATGAGAAAAACTACTTGTTGGTTCATCTGTTTTGTAAAGTTCACCTTTTTTTCCCAAATAGGCCATGTCTTGTTTCCTTTTAAAACCGAGGGCGCTGTTTCTGTGAGGTCAATTTAGGAACACACGTTTCAGATCAATTAGTTTTCTGTTCAAATTGTAAACCCTTATTTTCAACTGATAAACATTCATGCATACAAATTGTCAGACTTTTTTTCATGTACCAATACAACAATGCATCCACAAAGCCCCCCAAAAACCTACCATTTCAAGACCCCGAAAATTGTAGAAACTACCAGAATGCTGTAGCACTGGAGTTCCTGCCTAAAATGGCATCGCATTTTCGCTCATGAATGTGATATTGGCGTCCGTTTCAGCATAAGAACATAAACATGATAAAGGCACCAATACACCTTTGAAAATGGCAAGATAGAAGCTGACAAAAAGTTAATGAGACACATGGGTGCATTTTCAAGGATTGCATAATAAATATTTCATGGGCCCTGTAGATATACAGCCTTCTCGCACGATCCTGTTTGTGCTTGCTTATGTAGTACTAAACTCTCAAAAAAGTCTTTCACACTTATCGGATTTTATAGTATATAGGAAAGAATGTAGATTTTATGTTCGCTCTGACCTCCGCCCTGCAAACAGGACGCTGGTCAGGGCTGACGTCATTTGAGCTTTCATTGGATAGATCTGCGTGACCTGTGACGTAGAACGCGCCACACAAATTAGCTTCCGGTGCCCCATCATGCGTAGTGCGCTAGCTGCATGCGAAGGTCAATCTGCACTTCCTTCACAAGATTCTGTGAAGCTCATCAGCCCTGACCAGCGCCCTGCTTGCAGGGCGGGGGTACGAGCGAAGATTTTATGTTAAACTATTTTAATGAAATTCGAAGAGCTTATTCACAATACAGAAACAAATATCGTCTTAATAAGGACGTTTTCATTCGATGTGTGCCATACAATTTGACAATATAATGTGTATTATTTACATGTATAAATGTGTATATTTTACGTACGCTGAGATATATAAATTTATTTAAAATATTATTTATGCTTGCAGTATTTCCATTCTGTTATCTGTGCCATTGAATTCGACAATATAAATGACGAAGTGTACAATTATTGTATAACTGGTGTTAAAGGTGTAATTTATGTTCTTGTAATGTTCTTTTGAACACGTGAAATCGCCAATGTTTGTAAATAAACCGTCGATACTAAAGTGAATCGAAAAACTCGTTAGTTAGTAGATTATTTGTTTTAGCATTGGTCACAACGTTGTAGCATTTTTTTCTCATGCTGTACACGTTTGAACAACTTTTTTTTTACCACTTAATTGATTTATTATTCACATTAGAAAAGAACTGTCTAGATCATCGATCGGAGTCAACCGAAATTAATGTTTTTAAGTTGATTTAATATTAATGTAGTCTGTAATCACGGTAAGCATTACTTTTTTATAATACACTTGCAAACTACGCCAAAAATAACATTTCTACACATAGTACATCAGCGATTATTGAGCCATTAAAAATCTAGTTTGATCCATTTAAAAAAACAAAAGTGGCTTATATTGACACAGCCGTGTTTTAATTATGTACATGTATCTATGCTATTTTATTTTAATGACTTTAATTATGTATTATGAATGTTGTTTTCACATATCGATTTTAAAGGGTTGGTTTACTATTTGCAAATTCGCAAGCATTTTTTCGAAATCTTACAAATAGCGTTCAAAGTACTAAAAAATTAAATGACTCTTTTTTACCCTGATATATACACACTATCTATTCTGAATAATAATGATACAACTTTATTTATTTAGCGCCTATAATACGCACTACAATCCAGAACAATTGTTACAGATATTGAAGCAAGCAATTTGATCATATTCTGTTCAGTGATCATTCTGGTTGGTAACTGTTAATGAATAGAATCCTTTTCATCTTAAATTAACCCAGGCGACACCCAAGAAACTCCAATCGCAGAGCAACACCATTTATCCGTTTAGTAGGCACAATGCGCACTACCGTGGCCACCACACTCTCATCAAACAAATTAGTGACCGGGGCGTTCAGTTCAACTTGATTGTTACCGATGAACAACTGAAAAAAGACAAAATAATTTGTACATGTCGTTTGATTTATGATATGATACACCAAAGGTGATAATTCGGCCGTAGAATTGTCGGAGTTTCCATTCGGAAAGTAAAATCAATATACTTTTAGTGTACTCTTTAGGATTCATTCATTCATTCCTGTCCGGCTTACTGATTAATATACACTATCAATTTTGAATGTTCAACAAATAAAATTCGGCTCCGTACAATATCAGGACCGGCAGCTAGTTCCCATTTAAAGCCATTGATTTGTTCACCTCTGCTCGTGCACTGCTTCATGGTTTTTAATTATTGTCTCGCCTGAACTTTGTTCAGGAAAGAGACTATGCAATCACTTTGTCCATATGTATGTAGGTAGGTAGGTATGTAGTATGTACATGTATGTAGGTATATATGTTGTATCTTGGTTGACGTTTCGTTAAATTCGTCTATTTAAAAAGTCCCATTGGAATCAAACTTGGATCATAGATGCAACATGGTAACCTTCATATGATACTGATGTCAAAGGTCGCATACCAAGGTCAAAGGTCATCTGAGGTCAAGTTGTAAAATAGGCTGAACATGTAAAATTGATCTCGTTTCAAAAGTTAAAGTCCAATTGGAACCGAACTTGGGTCATAGATGCAACATGGCAACCTTCTTTAGATAATGAATCAAAGGTCACTTACCAAGGTCAAAGTTCATCTGAGGTTAAGTTGTATAATAGGCTTAAAACGTAAAATGTCTCATTTCAAAAGTTAAAGTCCAATTAGAACCAAACTTGAGTCAAAGATGCAATATGGCAACCTTCATATAATAATGATGTCAAAGGTCACACACCAAAGTCGAAGGTCACTCTTTACAGATAATCGTGAAAGCAGGTGAGACGCATGGTTCGAGAACCATCTTGTTGAAAATGATGATTACATTCCACGCATGGATGACAGTTGAAGTACATGCATGGCTGTGGGTGCACTGAACTATTTCAAGCCCCATTGAAAACAGTGTAAAATCGACAAAGTTCAGGGCCAACTAACATGCAAGCCGATCGACATCACTAGGGTTTCTCAAACAAAAAGTTAATTATTGTCTTGTCCTTCATTTTTTAATTTCTTTTCAATTTTGGGTAGAATAATATTCAATTACATGTTTAAGTTTAAGTATTCACACCAAAACAAAATGAAAGTTCCCAAGCCTGCATGTGGCCGTTTTACAAGTGGCATATCCTTCCACTATCTCAGGCAAATAAAGGACCCATTTTTCAATCGTAATTTTATCAAGCCTGCCCTCAGACGGAAGCCCAAACTCCCGGGAGTTGATCCTAAGCTATATATTCAATTCCACCGTTTTTTAAAGCCAAACGGTCTCAAAAGAAGTTGTGGGTGCACTTGTTATGCCAATGAGCTCGCGTATGAGGGGGCAACGCACATTATTCCCCAAAATCCTTGTACTTCTGTAGCATATTCTCAATATAAATGTTTTCGAGGGTGGGGCATTTGCCAACCCCAGTACTTTTCCTTTTCCAGGCTGGGACAAGCCCCCCCCCCCCCCCCCCCCTCGCGACGCCCATGGCAACAGACTTTTCCTTATTTACATATGCATCCAGAAAAGTTGGATATGCAAACGAGAGCAGGCAGCGTTGGAGCAACACCATGGAAACGAGGTTTACCTTGTTGCATTATGGGTATTACATTTGCATACATGAGGAGGAAAACCCCCTAATATGAAGGGGGCAAACCTCCCTACAGCGTATTCGGGAATCACTGCCCGATACCTGTCCCTACATCCGAAGTTCGAAGGACAGGGGGAGGGGAACCGGAAATACCAATTTAGTTGAAACCCTCCGTCAGAAAAGGTATAGACGACAATTAAAAGCTTGTGTCTTGTTTGGGATTTGTTGGTTTGTTTGACTGGGGGTTGATACAATGTTTAATTATATTCATACAGTTATGCATCCTGCAACTTTACTATGTATGTTTCATTTATTTTATGTTACCGCGTGCATTTAGTCCAAGTTCTTGAGTGTGGTTTCAAAGTGGCTTTGGTTTCAAAGTGGCATTGGGTTTATGCACGTTCCGATGTAAAAAGACATCGAATTGTAGTTTTGATAGACAGTCATACGAACAATTTAAGTCCAACCAATCAAAAGACGATCAATGAGAAACAGACTGATGAATTAAATCTTAGTCAAGTACATTAGAGGAGATGTTTTTTTACCTTGGTGTTTCCGTTTCCATCTGTCACGTTTTGCCATTTAGATGTGGGCTGCTTCTTATACTCCACTTTGTACTGCGTCACAACCCAATAGTTTTCGCCCTGTGTGACGACACCCGACACCACGGTACTATTAACGAGGTCTACCTCGATCCAGGGATTAGCATCGTTGTCACTGTGAAGAGTGAGAAATAAGGAACAATTATGAGTGAAACAACCCCATATGTTAATGGTATGTGCCTTGCGCTAGTATAGCACTACAGAAATCCTTACCTGGTTCGTTAGTGTGACGTCGGTTTTTTTTTAAACCACGTACGCGCAATGGCCATTAAAGATATAGTCCATCATTTGTAATTTGTGCATTTTAGTCGTTTGAAGCAACAAAAGTGCTCAAAATCTAAAGAAGGGTACTGAACAACTAACCTGATGAAGTTTCAGCTCAGCTTCAGCTATATACCGAGAACAACAGCATTCTAGTATCTCAATTTCAAATAAAAAGTTGCTGAATCATTTTTAGCCTTGACCAAGGCTATCAGCTTGTTGCCATACGAGCTTGTTCCCGCTACCGCACACCGCGCGCGCCGCGACACAATCACATGTTGTACTATACTGTTAGCCCCAACGACCCTTGCGTGTGCTTTGTGTGCATGTACTTACGCCCCACACACACTTCCGCGAACAGCCGTACAGTAAGTCGAGCCGCCTCGAATTCAGCGTCCGAGACACGTTCTCACTAATCGGATCGTAGCTGCGCGATGTCGCGCATTGATCCGACGAATTACATAGATATAGAATAAAAAGACTAGATCGGCAGCGCGTCCACACGCGCCCATTCACAGTGCGATAAATCCATTGATCTCCATATACACAGACATCGCGCAGTGTTTGTGCACGAATGCGCGGCCGAACAATGGCGGCACGTTTACTGCCAGACGGCTAAACGCGCATTGTGCTTTCAGTTTGTTTACTTTGGAAAATGGATTATTGAGTGAATTTTTTCTTACAGGAGGGAGTTCAAGCGTTCCTCCAAAACAAATCTTTAAAAAAAATAACTGAACGATGGAGAGTTACCCTCAATCCCTCCAAACAGCTTTTCCACACTTTCTTGATATACACTTTCTTATTATGCAATTTCGAAATTCAAGAACCCCCTTTCCTTTCCCCTTGTTGTTGTTTTTTTTAAATCCCTCCTCTTCCCAAAAATGATTGTAAGTAAATTGCCATTTCATTTTTGGCACATCGGTCATTAGAGCACACTGAAGTACTCCATCAATGAAATGAATAATTGTATCAATAATATGCTGAAATGACATCATATTTTTAACTGGACACTCACACGAGAAATTGTATGGAGATTCATTCAAATGATTGATATATTTATTTTAAAAAACCGAACATAAACCAATTAGAATGTATTAGGTAAGAAAAACCTTAATTTTACAAAGTAATCATAAAAACTTCTTCCCGTCCCTTGATTGATCAAGGAATGACATCGTTCACCTCTTGTGATATTGTGTGAAAGAAGATGAATCACAAACCAAAATTCTAGTTTTGTCAAGGAATATCAAGCTATGCACGGTCTTGTTTATAATTAAATGTTTAGCTATACTTCTGAAAATAAGTGTAATGGGAATCGTTTTTGTGAGTGAATATGACGGTGTATTAATGGCTATAGCTAGTAATCCTATATCGTACACAACATATGTTCAAACCGTAAAAGTACTCATTGCTTTCTTCACCATACAAACTGTCAAAAGTGACAGTCATCTTGGGAGCTCATAAAAATACTTGCGTTGAAATTCACAGCTTCTTTCCAAAAACAAAATCAATCAATGTTAACAGTTCCACATCGTAAGAATTGATTAAGAATTGATTCACATCGCATGTTCTATTCAGTGGATAATACAGTCGATTCCATCCCTCCGTGAAGTTCTCCATTTTCGTCCATCTCGGATATCGTCCTGCAGCTGGTGGTTTTGCTATGGCTTTACTGAAGTTGTTTGTTTGATATGAAGGTCAATCGGCCGGTTGTGCAGTAATTTAGGATAAGACATCTCCTCGGTTTCTCTTTATAAAGAAAAAGAATAGAAACATTTCGGTAGGCGTTAAGCCAAGGCAGACATAATTCAATCAGATTTTGTATATAAAAATTATAAAAGTTATTCGAATAAACTATTTTAAACAAGTCAACTTTTGTTCATTGCCATTGCCGGGTCAGTCATGCACGTTTAGGCAGTTTATTTTATTTTTTTAAAGACATAGGCCTAGGCCTAGGTCTTTTAAAAAAAAAATGATGATGCCGACCAGCATGACAGGCCTATAGATCGCATGGAATTTGAACAGAATATCTCGCTAGCTACCACACAGGCCTCCATCCCCCCAAACTCAGAGCGATCACATTTCGATATCATAATTTGCTTTGTCGTTCCCATGTTCATATTCCTCCGTGCCATGTTGTATAGGCCTCGTTAAAAAAAAAAAACTTACTTGCGAATAATTGTCCTATTCTTCAAAGCTCCTGTAGCTTTACTTCCCGGCTCCAGCAATCTAATGCTGCGCACACCTTGACTATACTCCTAGTCGATTTTAATCAAATTAGATCTCTGTTTCTTTTATTCTTTCAAAAACGACAAAGAAACCGAAGAAAACCCAACTTCATTTTTTAATCCTCCATTCGAAAGTGTACACAGCTCGAATGCGAGTTTGTGTTCTTTACCCTTTTCAAAAAACGCGCGCGCGGACGCACGTTCGTACGCGATGTCCTATCCAGCCTGTGTATATATGGAGATCAATGGATAAATCTCCGCCATTGTTGTTGTCTTTTGTGGACGCGCAACAAATTAACGTAAAGTAATGGAGCTAAATGTATCTTTCCTCCAGCACGTGACCTATCTCAACGCGCGCGAAGCTAGAAATGTGCACCGACTATTTACGCGCTGCGCTCACGCACGCTAACACGTTGACATGCCGCTTTTCATTTCGGCTACGGGATAATCAGTTTATTTTCTGCAAACTAAGACAACCAATTTTGCTAAGTAGGCCCGATCATAATCATAAGCATCCATGTTCAAGGGATACTGATTGAAATAAACAAGAGTAGACTGGTGTTTCAACATTATGGGAAGGATGTCATCTTATTTATTCTCTTGTTTACAATTATAAGTATTGAAGATCTCAAGTAACAGAAAATAAAATCGCAATGTACGCGTAAACGGCGTTGCGTTCGTCACGTCTAGCGCGCAATTTGTATCTTTCCTCCAGCACGTGACCCTCCATGCAAAGCCGTGCGTATGCAAAATTGATCCGGGAGCACAGAAGGGTGCATGCTGATGGCATGAGAGAAATCGTGGTTACCAACATTGAGGGTTTACCTTGTCACGGCATCGGCTAGGCCAGGCGGCAACTGGTGGGGTCGGGCTCATGCTGAGCAGAGATCGAGGCACAGAGGACGTTAACCAGTGTTAACCAGTCTTCTGATGGAGTAATCACTGCCTTTTTTCATGGGCAATCCAGTCTACCATCTTAGTGGCCTACGCACTAACTCTTGTAGCATCCGAAAGGGAGAAGAGGAGGTTCTATGATGATGATCTAGGACGAGCAGTAGAGGCTGTTCCCCATCATCACTTCCTACCATCCTTGGGGGCTTCAATGCCCGCCTGGACAGGGATCGAGACGTTCCTTTCACCTTTCATCAGGTAACTAATGACAACGAAGTGCGTCTGCTGGATCTGATTGAGGACTAATTCTTTTCTCTTCTTGTCAACAACACGCTGTTTGAAAAGCGGAAGAGAAGGCTGTGGATCGACGTTGTTATATCACCAGCAGGGACGAAGCCCATGCAGATCGACATCATCCGGACCAGGTGAAAATGGCGCAACAGCATTATTAACTCTTGCTTCCACAGTACCTTCTCTACAGTGGGATCAGATCATAGAGTGGTGGTTACGAAGAGGAGGTGTTTACGCAGACAATCAGTGAGTTGGAAGAAGAAGGTAAACCAAATAGATGCAATGAGCTGGAAGTTGATCAACGAGATTACAGGTAGAAAGTCTTCCAAGCCCTCTCAGATCAAGGGAGATACCAATGAGCAACGGGTTGAGGCATGGTACAACCACTTCAAAAACCTACTTGGTGGTGAATCAGAGATAATGGATGAGCAGGCGGAGGTAGAACAAGTGTTCGAGAACCTGGACATCGAAGAGGGTCCCTTCAAGAAAGAGGAATATGTCAAAGCCAAGGGGGCGCTCAAGGCTTGAAAGTGTTGTGGGGAGGGCGGGTCTTCCAAAAGGTCCTGAAGTATGTCACCATCAAAGACATGGTACTCCACTTTGTCAACAAGGCATATGAAAGGGGGAACTACCAGATCAGTGGAGCATTATTAATATTATCCCGGTTCCTAAGTCTGGTGACCTCACATATACGAACAACTACCAAGGGGTTAGTTATACCTTTTTTGTCGTCAAAACCTTTAACCGGATGGTACAAGACCCATTTGCTAGAACAACACAGGACGGGTTCAGGCAAAAGAGGTCCACCGTAAGGCACATCATTGCGCTGAGGAGAATTATTAAAAGTGTCAATCATAAACATTTCCTGCAATCACCATCTTCATTGACTACCGCAAGGCGTTTGACACTATCCGCCGTACCTGGTCAAATCAAGATGATAAACATCCTCACCGCGAACGGGATTCCCAGTAATTAGTGCAAATTATTGGGATGACGTACGGAAACACCCGGCTATGGTCACCTCAACGGATGGTGTCACATAGATCTTTGACATCTTGAGAGGAGTGCCTCAGGCAGGCTGATCCACTGACGTCCTCTTTTCCCTTTATCATGGTACTCAATGGTAGTTAAGAGGATCTGGGTTTCACCATAGTAGCTCGCAAGAGCCGACGAGTGTCCCTTGTGATGATCGCTGACCTGGACTTTGCGGATGACATCGCACTGGTCTCAAATACAGTGGAGCAGGCTTGAGTCCTTTTGTTATCAGTTGAGGTGGAGTGACACAAAATACATAAACTCGTCGCATGGGTGGTTTTAACGGCAAATAACACACCATTACATTTTAAACACTCTTTCCGGTATCACCTGTGACTATACACGCCGTAGACCCTTAACTCTGAAAGATCATGCGGTGAGCTTACGGAACCTTCTTGCTACCCACATGTAGGCATTTTACACGGGGTTGCCCTTTCTCTTTCTGTATATTTTGACAGAATGGTCCAACCGGAAATGTGCCCACAGACACATTTATGTTCGAATTTTATCTTGGTAGCTCCAGTATCATAGCTTCAGTGGTACCACTTATTAAAATAAATTCTTACGTCAACAGGCCAGTATGTTTATTCATGAGAATATCAAGAGCATTGTTGTTACTGAGTCAACCATGCAGTTACATTAAAGCATTTGAAAAGTACGGTTGGCGTCGACCTACTATACATTCTGTCAAAATATACAGAAAGAGAAAGGGCAACCCCGTGTAAAATGCCCACATGTGGGTAGCAAGAAGGTTCCGTATATAAGCTCACCGCATGACCTGTTCTGCCAGGTATATAAAAATGTAAATTTGGAGTATGCGTGGTGTACCGTACCCTGTGATACATACCGATCAGCTATCCACGCACGATCACCGTTAAGACGTGCATACTTGGCAGCCCAGGCAGACGAAAAACTACTGGACGCCCTGATATGATCATCGGGTATTGTGCCGTTCTCCATACCAAGGGGTCCGGGACTCGAACACTCAGCTGCTGTTTGAAAGCAGAAAAATAAGCAGAGTGTTACATAACTATTGACAAGAAATTGCACAACAGGAAAAAAAGTTCGAAGATATGTTTGCTCGATAACCCAAGTGCCTGGTACCGAACGAATATGCTACCTTTTCATCCAACCAAACGACACTGGGTCATTTAAAGATTGGTATTACTTTTAAAATGTTAACATTATGCTCTTGTCAACTGCTTTGAAATGCAACTTTTATTTTGGTGGACCGGTGTAGCATGAATATCCGACTCCATGAAATGTGGACCCATTGGAAGTGCGCACGCGTGAGTACGATACTATACTATTTTTAGGATCGTTTCGGGAGAGTGACCTGTCACGTGCGAGGGATCAACCAATAATAGGAAATAGGGGTCCGATTTTCATAGGAGTCGGATTTTCATGTGACACCGGGATTTTTACCTGTACTGACAACTGTAGTCGTGTGACCTGCAGTAGTCGTGCGACCTGCAGTAGTCGAGTGACTTACAGTAGTCATCGGACTATCAGTAATCGTTGGACCACACTTGAAGTAAGCTTGAACGTCGTCGGAGTCCTCACTCAAGAACAGCTTGTCCATAAAGAGGGGCGCCCCCTGTCGGTATGATGAAGCAGGGATGCCCATTCTACCGAGGCGTAAAGCGGTGCATTCGCACGGATCTTCGTACGGTAAGAAATAACGTGGCGGGTTGCAATCCAATTCAATGAAGCAAACTTTATGGCATGAGGTCAAACCTAGGATGATCGGAAACATAGTACAAGAAGAAGAAGAAAGATTCGCTGTTGTAAGTGACAAACGTCGGGTGATCGGCGGACATTGCTAACTACAATTCACGAAATTTACCCTTTTCTAGGGGAACGTTTATTTAACTTGATCTAGAAGGCATCCTTTTGGGTTTTAAAAATGTCAGTATACATTTTTATTTGCACGAAAACGTTACTTTCGGTTTATTAACGTCATCGGTTAAAATGTCTGAATATCGATTTAGCTCAAACAGGATAAACGTTCATCATGTAGTGAAAAGAACTTGTGAAAATATCAAATGATGTCATGATGGCGTCACAGTTGTTATCACATCCTTGGACAAGGGTGCATGTTTGAACAAAGTTTAGTTGTTCATTTAACCCCAGAGGAACAGGTATAGCAAACACAGGTTTGTAGGTTTGTTTATGGTGCAAATCGAGGATTTTCTGTTGTTCCTCTTCCCTTTTCCTTTGTTTATACTCATTTTTGCAACAGCCCTCGTTGGTTTTGTACACGTTTTCTAACAGAGGTCGTCTTCGATTTGATTCCTGTCCTCAATTAATTGTTGATGATGCACCTGTGTGTCCTCGATTTACACCCAAACAACTGCATATTATCAAGACATAATCTATCAGACAACTAGAATGTTCGTGAGTTAGGATTGAAACAATACGGTCCAATTTTTTATTTAAAAAAAATCGCTTGTAATTTGATACACAGATGACCTTATCATGACGACACACACACCTCGGTATCAGGATTGATGTTCGCACCAATTTGGAAGTTCTTGCCTTGTTGCGTTTGAAAGAGAAGTCGCAGAAAATTATTGTCCAGAGAACACGAACACGAAAGAACGGAGTCAGAACCATCGCACCGTCACCCAACTAGAAGTTTGCATTTGTTTTGTAACGCCGGTCATGAGATGCTGACAGTTGTAAATTTACGTAAATGGGAACAAAATCATTCAAACAGTCGCCCCTCATAGCGTGGTCCTGTACCTACTCTGCGGAGTTTAGATTGAGTAGTTTGCTGAGATTGTTACTATAGGCATGTGGTGCCCTTTTCAACTTTGACCTTATGCTAATGAGCGTGCTGGGTCAGCGATCTTTTGTTCTCGTGTCACCGCGTGGTGAAAGTCATTCACAGTTATCGGAACTTTCTCCGTGATTTATTCCAGCTCGGAACTTGCTGAAAGTATCAGCATTTGTACAGCTGTATCCCGAGTTTCTATTGTACTTTATTTTGGATCGTGCAGTTGACGATCCTTGAGCGAACTCACCTCGTTTGCGGGAGACTTTTTCTCGCGAAATCGAGTAGCACTTTCGCGGGCCAACTCGCCCCCACTGACTCCGCGTGTGCTCACCCCCATTGGATTGCTATACACTCGCGTATTACCTGGAGTGCTTCGACTTCGTCGTCGGTGTCCAAAAGACGAACTATAGGGTGAGTTGTTGCGTTCTTATTTATGTAGCTAACCACTACAGGCCTAATACGAGCCCATAATAAACAACATTGGTGTTGAAACGGGTAAAAAAACAATTAAGTTGTATCTAAAACACCTACATAATTATTTACCTCTTAAAACTACGGCAATTTCAAAAACAAAATTATCTTCCATACAGATTCACATGAGGACGACTTGAGATCATTGGGATTTGAGGACATTTTTTGTTGATGTCCCAATGTACAAAAAAAACACAACAAACCGACTAAGTATTATGTTATCAATAACAAAATGGGGTGCTGCGTAGCACTAATGAAGAAGTACAAGAAGGACAAAAATCGGCCACAAATTCTGGTGAGCACTTCTTTAATTTTTATTTCTATTATTATGTTTTGTTTTGTTAGTTACAAGTCAGCGCACCTTTTTGAGCAATTTGCTATTAGCAAATTGCTCAAAGTGCCATTATCCCGACATTAACTCAGATTACGGTCTTTTTGCATATATTTAAAGCCGCCAACTTCTCCACAAACCGCGTTACTATTTAATAAGTTTACTACATCTCATAGATTTAATACGGAACCCCCAAAGTGTCGCGAGGAGACCAGTATGTTGTGTCACCTCATCCGAGCGGATCCGAGTCCCGAAGTCTCGAGTCCGAGCAATGTCCGAGTTTTGTTTTT